AAAAAAATGTGTTTGAGATATTTCGTAAGCTTACATTTAGTAATTCCGAATTCGGCCAGTATTAGTATTGTCTGGCTTGCAGTCATTTGTTTTCGCGTGCGTGTGCCCAACATTATAAGAAAGACTGGGAAGAATTGCCAGATTTCCAAGGCTGGCTTAACAAAGCAATAAAGGACGCGATTATGCGAAATGCATGGTCTAAGGTAAAGATATTAATATCAAAAGTGGAAGAGATGCACTTATAAAACACGCAAATGGGCAATTTCATAAAAAGTGCAAACCATATCAGGACAGCCAAAACTGTTGTCATTTGCATTTGCAGGTGCATCAAAGAAATTAGAAAATGACATTAAAGAAAGTAAAATTAATTAATCTATTTGAAAAGATTTGACATTATATAGATTTTTTTATTATTGCCAGGAGAAATTCGTTTGAGCGCATTTTTGGCCGAGCATAATTTGCCATTCCTGCTGATGGACCATTTGGCAAAGCAAAATTAGTAGATAATATGACTAATAAAAACTTATACAAAAATGAATCGGAAGAATGATTATCCAATACAGCTTACACATTTTTTATTTTATACATTTTTTCTGTTTTTTATTAAGAATATGTTATCTTTAGTTAGCTAACTGTTTATTTTTGTGTTGTCTTTCTGTTTTAGAGTATATTTTGAGTTAAATGAAATTGTTTTAAGTTTTAATCCTTCATTTACTCTTCGGTATTCAATCTACCGAAAAATTCCTTACAATTCTACCAAAATATCGTCGACTCCACCTGGCAACACTGGTAGAATCCGATGAGGTATAGGAAACACGCAAATAACTACATTCCATATTCCATAGTTATACCTACCCAATTGAAAACTTGCTGTACAGGGAAAAAAGATGAATGTCACAGCCGTTGTACGAAAAAAAATGGTCGTCACTGAAACTAGTAGGTACTACGAGTACAACAACTTCCATACACCTATCTGCGACGAAAGAAATAAATGTTAAGTAATCATTGTTAAGCAGTTACCATTAATTTTGTTTTGTTTTTTGGTTCTTTGTTTTTTTCCTGTCCAAATAAAAAAATATTTAGAAATAATTCTGTGTTTGAGCTATTGAGGTTAGAAAATCGCATTTTTCTCATGTTATAGGTCCTGTGTAATAAATTTTCCGTTAGGGTAGTTCTCATATTAGAACAAATCGCAAAACCTAAGATAGGCATTTTGCTGGTTAATCAACCCTTAGATTTTACAGGATGTTCCATATGACCAAAGGCTCATTTCGAACTTTATATCTCAAAAAAAGTTGAATTCGGGTATGGACGCTATCACATAAAAAATGTTTAGAATCATTAGGAGAATCTCAAAATACAAAAATTAAAATAATTTTACATTAAAAAATGCTTTTACTTTTGGTCTACCCTGTTTATCAGTAAATAGCTTTTTATTTATAATTCAACTTTTTTCAATTTCTTAGAATGAGAAATCTATGGAACTCCGCAGATCTATGACCCACCCTGTACAACGAGTCTAGGAATCTTCAAACTTTTAAATTCACTTTTCTCGATACTTTTGTGACATTCGCCTTTTTCCCCTGTACCCTTCATTTGTTTTGGTTCATATTCTGTTTTTCCTCAAATAGGCCTTTTCAAGTAGGTCATAAATTGTGATATTCGTTCTATTATACTAAGAAAGTTAATATTAATTCCATTCAGATGTAAGAGACTTTAAATATATATTTCTTTAGACGGGCGAAAACGCAGTCTGTCATGTTTGGCCGATATATTAATGTGTTCTGACGTCATACCATATGTAAACAGCAGCTGACAGTAGCGTAATCTCTCAGAACTTCAAGCATGCAAACATGACTTCTAGCTGTACTCGTTTACATGATTATCGTTATTGTATCGTCCGAGAATGTAAAAATACATCGATAAAGGATATGTATGTTATGTTACAATTTACTGTGCAGATTTTATCGTCTCTGAATTGGACGTAACCTAAGGCATCATCAACGTACGATTCCCTTGTAGATGTGTAAGAAAGAATACGATATTAGATAAAGAGCTTAGTTTTGAATGACTTCACTGAAAAGGAAGAGTATTTAAGTATTACTCATTCTTTCTTTTTATGTCTATCATAATATCTGGGCTTACATCGAAGATTTGATGTTCCTCCCTGTATCGTCAATGATATTTGGATTTTTCAGTATATCTAGCGTGCAAAGTGTTCTGATTCTTCCCTTTGAAAATCGATTTTATTCAAAATAAATGTACAGAGTGGGCCAATGAGTTGAGCGGATTTTAAAAAATCATAAAAAAAAAACTACAAAGCATGTGGAAGATAATTTATATTTTTAATAAAGGAGACAGATGGCCATTTTATTTTTAAAAAGTAACATCATTGAGATGTGAGCCATCGAGATGTGCGCACTCCTCGAATCTCGACTTCAAGTTCGTGACAACTCGCTGGCACAATGCGCGTGGGATAGCGGACATCTCCTCGGAAATGTTGTCCTTGAGCTAGGCAATCGTCGTCGATTTATTGGCGTAAACACAGCTCTTGAGGTATCTCCAGAAAAAAAAAATCCAGTGGCCTGAGATCTGCGCTCCGGGTAGGCCACGGAATGTCTGTTCGTCGCGATATCAATTTTCCACTAAACATTTCGTTTACAACTGCTTAAGACTCGTTGGTGGTATGGGATGTAGTTCTATCTTGTTAAAACCCGCTCCTGCTATGATAGGCTTCAAAATTATGCAGTTGTGGAAAGAAAAAGTTACGTAGCATTGCTATGTAGTGATTAGAATTTCCTGTTACAGTCTGGCCTTGCTCGTTTTCGAAGAAATATGGTCCGATTTTCTGCGGTCAGTACCAGTAATTTGGCTTGTTGACAAATCCACTAAAATGAAATGAGCTTTATCAGAGATGTTGTTCAAACTTGGAAAGCGCTCTGACATTGTTTCGGCAAACGCACGACGTAGATGTTGGTCCTGCGGTTTCAATTCCTGCATCCTATATGGCGAGCTCAGCTGATCTCTTTCGGGATGATAACTGTGGATCGCGCCGTTCGAATTGACTTTGAACGGCCCGCAGGTTTCTGATTCAGTGGAGAAGCGCTAGACTCGAACTTTCTGACTCACGACCTGATCACACTTTCACTAGGACATTGATTTAGATCATGTAAACTAAACTCAGAGCGAAAGAGACGCCGCGCAATAGTGCACGAATCTCCATTTTTTAAATAAGCCTTAACACAGATCGCACGCTGCTCACCCGTGAAGCGCTTCATGGCGACTAAATTTCCGAGCACCAAGCTCCCGCGGGTCTGTCGCGAGCAATGCGGTTTTAAAATTCGAACGTCTCTCTGGTCCACCCTGTATTTCGTTTTTCTAAGCCGAATATTATAAGAAATACTCATTTATTCTATGAAGTTATATATATGTCAAGTATCATATTCTATCGAACTTTTTAAAACAAATATAAAAGTTTCCTTCCCCTAAAGACTTTTATATACTAAGTGACATATAAATCCGAACACCCAGTTTAAATCATTTTATTTTAATAAAAGTTGGTGAATGTATTTATCTTACTGTAAATAACAAGTGAAAAAATTTTCAGCCACATCAGTTGGACATTCCGGTTTTTATACTGCTTTTTTTAATTCACTAACGCTCTAAAAATGTATATTTCAGTCGCAGTAAAGAATCAACGTTGGCGGATTTTGGTTCTTGACATCCTTTACGATCGGTTACGAAGCCTAGAGTACGGAGACCTGTACGATTTCGTCAACTTAGTGAGTTTGATAGGGGCCGTATAGTGGGACTTCGGGAAGTTGGACTTTCTTTTCGGGCAATTGCAGTTAGAGTGCAAAGAAGTGTAGACACTGTGGTTAGGTGTTGTCAGGCATGGCTTCGAGAAGGCCGTACGCAAAGAGCAAGGGGCACTGGACGCCGCCGTAGAACAACAGACCGTGAAAATCGCCGTCTAAGATTATTGGCCTTAAGGGACCGTTTCTCCACTACCAAGTCCAATGGTTTGCAGAACACGGAAGACCTATTAGCATGCGAAGTGTTTACCGACGAATGAGAAGTTTTGGCTTGTTTTCATACCGGCCACACTGGGTCCTCCCTTTAACTCGAGAACACCGATGTAATCGCCTTGAGTGGTGCAGACAACGGTCACTCTGGGATCAGGAATGGAACAGTATTGTCTTTAGTGACGAGTCTCGATTTTGTTTAGGCATGCACGATGGTCGTGCCAGGGTAGAAGGCGACGTGGTGAAAGGAGGAATCCACAGTTTTTTGTTGAAAGACATGTTCATCACACTGTTGGAGTTATGGTTTGGGGTGCTATAGCTTATGGTTCCAGGTCACCTTTAATCTTCATCAGAGGTAACATGAACGCGCAGCGTTATATCCACGAAGTTCTAGAACCCCATCTTTTACCCGATCTTGACACCCTGGCAGATCCAACATTCCAACAAGATAATGCCCGACCACATGTTGCAAGAGTCACAATAGACTTCTTTCAACATAATGATGTCACATTGTTGCCATGGCCACCAAGATCTCCCGACTTATCCCCAATTGAGCACGTGTGGGATATGATGGGTAGGAGATTGCTCAATTTGCAACGTCCTCCTCAGACTCTAGAAGCACTTCGAGAGGAGTTGGTGGTTGCCTGGAATGAGATACCACAGGAGGACATTGACCACCTGATCGGAAGCATGCCTAGGCGCGTTGGAGAATGCGTAGCACATCAGGGTGCATCCACACATTATTAAAGGTCAAAGGGCTTTATAGCAGTGTAATCATTTTGAAATTTTTATCATTTACTTATTATGCTTCATTAAGTACTTATACAAAATTTTATTAAAATAAAACCATTTAAGCTGGGTGTTCGGATTTATATGTCACTTAGTATAATTTGATGCATAGGACTTATTGCAGCGCATTTACAGTATTGTAGTTTTCGGTATTAAGTAAAATTATTTGATTTCATTTGTTTTCAGCGCTAGTAAATCCCCTTACGCTGACATACTAAACGAATACGTGGAAGCTGAAAATCTGGGTAGCGGAAAAAACGGTGCTTCTCGAGAATGTTGGCCATATGTGAGAGACTGTCCAAAATCGCTATTTTTACCAAGGCACAATCCCTACAGGTAATTAATATTTGTTCATATATTGGTATCATCAAACACTATAATATTGCCACGAAAATCGTTTTGCCTGTCTGGCTGTCCGCTAATACTTGACCCTTCTATAACATGGTAAGTACCGGCCAGATTTTGATGAAATTTTCACACAGGGTTACTACCATGTCGAGCACGCAAATGCTTTGTAGGTTTTGAAAATCGGTCCAGTGGGGGTAAAAAAAGAAAAATCCTTGTGCATCGTCGTGGAGGCTAGTACCAACTATAGCAGGCGCAATAAATAGGTAACTAACTCGAGCCCGACATCAACTTGTAAATGATGACTTAATTGTTTTTATCCAGGGTATCCAAATACTGTGTCAAAGCTCAATATCTTCGATACTATTAAAGTTGCAGAAAAAACTTAAATACAAAAGTTGTACTATTTTTTAAATGGGATATCCTGTATTTCTGTTGATTTTTAGAAGCGCCTTTTCTTGGCCATTCTGCCTATGTATGGTTTCGGGGGTTTGTAACGGGTATTTCGGAATACAGTATATTCACTGAATCAAATAATGACAGTGATGCACATAGTTGTCACATTGATTAAAACTACTAGATCCTAGGAAATAAACCACAAATAAACATCAGCCGTTGACGTAATTACTTAACAAGCTTTGCGACAATGTCACAACACAGAAAACTCTTACCGACATAAATGTACCCGGGAAATTCAAACTACACGTACCAATTTAGGATCTATTTTGCATTAAGGTTGCCATTCAAATTCTCTAAATATGACGTAACTGCTTTTTTTCAGTGAAAGGACTACATATGGCCACTTTTTCGTTTAAATCATCAAAACGGAAAGAAGTAATTTTCTCCGAAAATTTAAATGCAACATCCTGTATGTTATATCTCTTGGGTCTCTTGATGCCTTTTCAGTTTTATTAAGCCTTCCCTATACCTAAATCTAGTATTTTTTGAGACATTCCATGTCTTATAAGTGAAAACTATAATACTATTGGATTTATTAGGAAAATATAGGTTGGTCACGTTTCTTTGACAAACATGTCATCGTAAACTTCAGTAGTCAAGTTGTGCTTGTATTAGTTTCGCTTAGAAATAAAATGATTTTTTCTGCACAAGAAATGGTTGATGTGATTTATGCGCTAGGAGCAAGTGACAAAAATTATATATATATATATATATATATATATAGGTGAAAAATTAAAGCTTCCGCCTTTTGTTGGGTACTTCGACAAAATTTAAGCAAAGAGGACTCTTTATACTTTTTTTAATTCTCTCTAGCTTTCAATGGACTTTGCCATCATCATCAGGAGCTGCAATTACAATGATAACAGTAGCAACAAAGGTGTAAAATGAATTTAAATTGACTCAACTTACAGTAGTATGTGAGGATGTTGCTAATTGTTGTTTACGTATAGGATGAGGGAAACGTCCAGTAACATGGTGAGAGCTGGATAGATTGTACAGTAGTCAAACTTATATAAAATATGACAAGAACAAGTTAAAAACAGATTAAAAATTATTTAAAAAATCCCTCATCCTATACGTAAACAACAATTAGCAACATCCTCACATACTACTGTAAGTTGAGTCAATTTAAATTCATTTTACACCTTTGTTGCTACTGTTATCATTGTAATTGCAGCTCCTGATGATGATGGCAAAGTCCATTGAAAGCTAGAGAGAATTAAAAAAAGTATAAAGAGTCCTCTTTGCTTAAATTTTGTCGAAGTACCCAACAAAAGGCGGAAGCTTTAATTTTTCACCTAACTGGTCTAGACGACAATGACCACGTCTCAAGTTATATATATATATATATATATATATATATATATATATATATATAACAACAAGTAGGAAAATAATGGGCAAAATCCGCAAAAAGGAGGAAAGTGGATTCCAGCAGAAAATAGGATAGGTAACCCGAGCGATACGTATTTCCGCTGGTTGGCTTCATCAGGCTCGAAATGAATGCACATATGAAACTACAAAAGTAGATACACATGCCCACACATCCGGATACGGGTGTAACCTGAGGAAACGAAGTTGGAGGGGGAAAAAAACGACACACGAAGTCCACAACAAGAGCCAACCTACACATTGTAGTATAAAATGGCTATACGACCTCGAATTTTCAAGGAGACGTCTAACCACCACCACGCGGCCGGTTATAGCCACTTGCTGTAGTACTTCAAGCCCAAAGGATTTACAAGGAGAATATGATCATGCGGAGAAAGGTATATAACAACAAGTAGGAAAATAATGGGCAAAATCCGCAAAAAGGAGGAAAGTGGATTCGAGCAGAAAATAGGATAGGTAACCCGAGCGATACGTATTTCCGCTGGTTGGCTTCATCAGGCCCGAAATGAATGCACATATGAAACTAAAAAAGTAGATACACATGCCCACACATCCGGATACGGGTGTAACCTGAGGGAACGAAGTTGGAGGGGGAAAAAAACGACACACGAAGTCCACAACAAGAGCCAACCTAAACATTGTTGTATAAAATGGCTATACGACCTCGAATTTTCAAGGAGACGTCTAACCACCACCACGCGGCCGGTTATAGCCACTTGCTGTGGTACTTCAAGCCCAAAGGATCTACAAAGAGAATATGATCATGCGGAGAAAGGTGTATAACAACTTCGTTTCTTCAGGTTACACCCGTATCCGGAAATACGTATCGCTCGGGTTACCTATCCTATTTTCTGCTCGAATCCACTTTCCTCCTTTTTGCGGATTTTGCCCATTATTTTCCTACTTGTTGTTATATACCTTTCTCCGCATGATCATATTCTCTTTATATATATATATATATATATATATATAACAACAAGTAGGAAAAAATATATATATATATATAATATAGTCCAGACTTCAGACAACCGTGTAGGAAAATCTCGATGATCTTATGGGTGAAACCAGTTTTATAGGAAGATAATGTTTCAAGTTATGCTCCGTGTAACTGAAGATCCCCATGTAAGTGTTTGGCGTATTTCAAAAGATTTAGATATTAACAGATCATCCGTGCACAGTATACTTCAAAATGCACCCCTAATTACAGCAAGAGCTAAGCGAAAACGAAAGATTTTTTTTAAATCTTTCTGTTCGCCGACGAATCAAAAAATTTATTATATTATATTTTCTCTAGGGTTACGTTAAAGAAAAGGTCTATAAGACTCCACCTATGACAAGAGCTAGTATGCAAGACAGCAAGACAGAATACAGGAAGTTTTTCAGAGCATTGACCACCAAATGTTAAGAAATGTTGCCGAATCATTTAAAAGTCGGTAGCAGGCCTGTATTGATGCAGGTGGTGGGCACTTTGAACAATTAATTAAGTAGATAAATAGATTTAATTAGTTATAATTATCATAAATGTTACCAAATTGTAGTTATTTTTAGTTATTAAGGTTCTTTAGCAGAGATACGTATAGTGTTTTTTGTTATAGTAGCCGTTGTATGTGTTTAATTACATTTTTTGACCATTCAGCGACATATTTCATATAGTCACAGTTTTTTTTTTATTAATAGCATGACTGACGGATATTTTCCTAATAATTCTAAAATTATGGTTTTCACTTATAAAACATGGAAAACCTATCTCAGAAAATACTATATTTGGGAATAGGTAATGCTTAATAAAACTGGAATAGCACTACGAGAGGCGTTGAACAGAGTTATAAGATACAGGGTGTTTGATTTAAATTTTTCGAGAAAATTACATCTTTCTATTTTGATCCACCGTATATGTCTCAATATGTACAGAAAAAACGTTAGATATGAATGCCTACTACTGTTTCCATCACTCTAAAGTGTTATTTGAGATACGTATAATGATTTTAAGGAAAAAGTCCGAAATACCCAGTACAAATCCCGGATACCATACATTGGCAGAACGACCAAGAAAAAAAACTTCTGAAAATCAACAGAAATACAGGGTGTCAAATTTAAAAAAATGTATATTGCCAGTAATCTGTGGAACACCCTGTATAGCTAAAAATAATTTTTTGTTGTAACCCTTAGCTCTGCCTACAACTTTTGTATTTAACTTTTTCTGCAACTCTAATACTAACACAGATATTGAGCTTTGACACACTATTTGGACACCCTGTATATACACGTATCGTTTCCTGAATTTTATGATCTTTAAATGTGCCCACCCATTTCGCCTAACCTTTAATTTGTTGGTTACTCAGTATATGATGGCTCTATGAATATTTCGTCGAGTAGATTGACTCAGTGCTTATTACGCATGAGTATGCAACAGAAACGGACTGACAGCCGGGAAACACGAACTTGTGTGATGAAGTTATCTTTAAAAAACAAAGGCTTGTGAACTGAAGTTCGATTATATCATTTTGGTTGTCGGTGACGGTGGGACTACGGACAAAAAAATAAAAAAAACGCTGGAATATAGTGTTACAACGCTTCAGATAGCTCATTTTCAGAAATTGTTTGGAGGGGTTGAATATCGTAGGTTGGAAGCTATATGTGCGGTAAATGGTTGGGAATTGTTGCATACTTGGTGTCAGTGAAATGCTTATTAAGAAGCTGATGATCTCAATATTATGCACCTGTTAGACACATGTTTCCTCTACATCTGTCAAGGAATTTTTTTATATAGTTTGATATGTAGAGGTCGAAGATTCATCGTAAAGTAAACCTACGTATCCACGATTCGATTCCACCATTTGAAATGACTTGACTCCCTTTTCTTTGAAATCTCCAACAATGACATAGGAAGTATAGAATCAATGACGCCGTTTTCTGTTTTTTTCAGTTTTTCTTCTAATGAAGATGGTAAAACTAAACTTTGATTCTTTTTTCAGTGAGACAGAAGAAAATAACATTTCTGATGAACAAGACGATGCAAACCCCAAGGTTACCTACGGTCAAACCTTCAATATGTAGCTCTCAAATATAGTCAGTGTACACTGATGAAGTGTTACAGTGATACAAATAAAACGGGTGTGATCTTCTACTAAGTCAACAAATATAAGATACATTATACATATGAGAAGAATGCTCAAGTTGTAAATAGTAGATTAAGGATGAGACGTTATTAAGGGTAGCTGCACAAGTGATTAATTGACATATTGATTTACCATGCTGTTAGGCAAGTTGTTTTATTGGCCCCATACTATTACCGTTAGCGTTAGTATCGCATTCGTATACGGAGGAGAATACAACTGGCAACGTGGATAATGGTAATGTAAAATGGCAACCATCTAATTTTTGTCAAATATACACTACTGCTGTCCTACGAAGTCTAGAGAAAGAAGGTTAAACAGCGTAAGTGATGCAAATATTCGTATGAAGCCAATCCTGTTACCAAGAATGGTGTAGTTGTCGAAAATCTAGTGGGCGTAGAGCGTTTGTATTGATCTGGGAACCTATGCATCGTGGAGGTTTGCGACAAAAAAGCAAAAACACGTATTACTAGAACGGCCAAGAGAAAAACCTGGAAAAATGTTTCAAGTTTCTGGAATGATCGCTAGGGGGCGTAACTGCAATCTTGAATCTAAAAAAGTTTCTGAGAATTCCGCTATATTGACCCAAACAAAAAATACCTGATCTTTAAATTCGAGGATAATCTGACCGTTTTTGGTTTGACAATTTTTGCTGTATCTCTAAAAATGAAGTGGTGGGGAGTATTCAAAGGTTTCCGTAGAAAACACCGTGTATCGTCAAAACGTCTGAGCCGATTTGAACAAACTTGGGCTAGTTGAAAAGAGCTATTCTTGGGCTACAAATGCTATAATATTTGAAGTTTCGTTAGTTTCACATATGGCCACTAGAGGGCTTTTTTCGACATTCCGACAGAAATGGTTAATTTTCTCAAAAAAAATTAAATGCACTGGTATGATTTTTTTATGAAGAAGTAGCTAAATGATGTCTAAACAAGGTCGCGAAAACCGTATCTTTATATCTTGTTCCTAACCTAAGATTTAGGCCAAAGAAAATTTTATTCCAAAAACCCCTTGAATTTTTACCTTTTTTAACTAATCTTCAAGTTTCTGAAATGGTCACTAGGGGAGCGTAACTTTATTAACCTAACAAAAAATACATGTTCTTCAAAATTAAATGCATTGGTATGTTTTTTATGAAAAAGTAGCTCAATGACATCTAAGCAAGCTCGCGAAAACCGCATCTCCATATCTTCTTCCTAACTTAAAATTCAGGCCACAGATAATCATATACAGAAATCATCCCTTAATTTTTTTTCTAAACTAATTTTTCTGGACTTATTAACTTGTGGCCCTAAAAAGGACCGATTTAAACAAGAAAACAAAACTGCAACTCCAATTTCGGCTCTCGGTATATTACGTATCGCATTACGAATCCGGTTTTTCATATCTTCTTTGGTTGTAGGTCGAGTCTGAAACACGATGTCCTTTAACCGTCCCCATAAATAAAAATCATGACAAGTTAAGACTTGTGATCGCGAAGGCCATGGAAACAGACTTCCTCTTACAATCCACGTCTGTTGAAATACTGCATTAATATGCTCTCGTGAAATACTAGCAAAATGTGCTGGGCAACCATCCAACTGCAAAAACAAGCTTTGCCGTGTTTTCAGTGGCAGATCTTCCAACAGCAGCGGTAATCGAGTGTCCAAAAAGTCAAGAAAGACCATTTAGAGATTGCTCGAAAAAAATATGGCCCAATAGTTCTGTCTCCCAGTATGCCACACCGCACATTTAAACTCCAACGCACTTAGTGCTGAACTTCACGCAACCAATGCGGATTTTCCAAAATAAACTTCAAGCATATCAACAGCTTCATCATTCGTAAAGCGCATTTGGTAAGCACCAAAAATATTATGTTTTGATTAGGTATTTGTTTTGTTGTATTCCTTGGCCTGCTTCTATTATCTCTTTCGTATATACCCATAGTGAATATGCATTTAAACAAAAAATGTGCCTTTTGTTATTAACATTACTTACCTTTTAGCGATATTTTGTAATATTTTCAAAAAGGTGATTTTATCCTGATGAATAAAAAAGAATTGCACAAAAATTAGTTGAAAATAATAAAAATTCTCGTGGTAAAATTCTCTTTGGCCTAAAGATATCGAGATGCGGTTTCCGCGAGGTTGTTTAGACTACATTTAGCTACTTTGTCAAAAAAAGAATCATGCCAATGCATTTAAGTTTTTTGAGAAAATTAACTATTTCTATCGTAATGTCGAAAAAAGCCCTATAGTGGCCACATGTGAAACTATCAAAACTTCAAATATTACATTTGTAGCCCAAGAATAGCTCTTTTCAATCAGCCCAAATTTGTTAAAATCGGCTCAGCAGTTTCGAAGATACAGGGTGTTTTTTACGGAAACCTTTGAATATTCCCCACCACTTTATTTTTAGATATACAGCAAAAATTATCAAACAAAAAAGTTCACACTATCCTCGACTTTGAAGATCAGATATTTTTTTGTTAGATTAATATAGCGGAATTCACAGAAACATAACTCAAGATTGCAGTTACGCAGGGCCACTTCAGAAACTTGAAAATATTTTCCAGGTTTTTCTCTTAGCCGTTTTATCAGAGCTCCTTTTGCCGCAAGCTTCTACGATGGATAGGTTCCCAGATTCAGTACCTCGCATTCCTAGTTGTACATAAGATAGAGATGACCTTATGTGCAGCACCTGAAATTCATTTGGTACGCAGTGTGCCAACTCACTTCGTGGTCGACATTTTTGGCTTTAGCCCCATTCAATGAGTTTAACCTCCTATGTCTAGTCTCCATGTGATATCCTTATCGTGAGCGAGTTCTATCCGTTTTACATTGACAATAAGTCCATGAATTGAGTTCATGGCCAGATTTCAACAGTATAAAACCGGAATTTGACGTCACACAAGTTCTTCTTGAGTTTCTGAACACAATAAGAGCTTGTTCTAATTCTTACCAAGTTGAACGTCAAATACCATGTTGTCTACCTTGTTTTCCTTTCGATTATACTGAACAACTTTACAATTCAAGTATGGCAGTTTGATAAAACTATAGTATGCAACAATATGGTGGTCATTTATAATATTCGCCTCAAAATCAAAACCACAACACTTATAAAAACTCTAAACGTTTCAAGCAAGAATTTATTGAGTGGTTAGTAGCACTGTATACCGTCAGATAATCCATGAATTTGTCCCTTGATGTAAACACATAAGAGCCGCTTTCCAATGCCTCATTTGTTTTTTACGTAATAACCTTACCGATGTAAGCATTTGTAAGCTATGTTTGTCATCGTGCTGTCAATAAAGTCAATATTATTTGAATTTTCTAGTTTGCCAGGTTGCTACTATAAAAGTGCGATACTAGCCCTACAGCTGTCATTGTGCATAGCCAATAAGATTTTACTATATATGCACTAAACGAAATTTTGCATTTTTTCAGAGCTAAGTTGTGCAGTTACCGTCATAGAATATATAAAAAAATGCAGATGTTATTAAAAATCAACTGTAGCACGCAAACGAATATTTATTTTATTTATTTATAAATTATTGTAATTACAATATTATTTTTGTACATTGTTTTATCGTAAAAGAATATATAAATATTTCAATTTTAGAATATATATATATATATATATATATATATAACTTGAGACGTGGTCATTGTCGTCTAGACCAGTTAGGTGAAAAATTAAAGCTTCCGCCTTTTGTTGGGTACTTCGACAAAAATTTAAGCAAAGAGGACTCTTTATACTTTTTTATTCTCAAAGGCAAAAGATTATCATAAATACTAAAAAAATTAACTGATATCACGATTATATCTATTATAATTACTCTATAATAATTGTTAGCATAATCTGATTCAACAAGAGAAAGATATTGTATAAGATTGTGGAAACAGTTCTCAAGATATGGCTGCTATCAAAAAGAAGTACTTCTCCGGGAAGGCTGGTAGTTTGTCCACATTATCTACACATAGACTCTATCCCAAAATTGAGAAAGTGGGAATTAAGGTAAATAAATGGGAAGAGGAGGAGCTGACCATCTATTATGGAACCAATGATTTAGCCCAGAAAAACATGAAGTATTGGTCTAGATTAGCACTTTATCATGTATCACATTTTTATGATTATGAGGTATCTGAGGAGGATGCAGACAATATGACAAGCAGAAAGTTAGCTAGATCGCTGGTAGGAATGCTACTATCTTTAGGAGATGCTGAATCTATTATAAAAGGGGTTAACCTTGAATCCACTCTTAATCTTGTAGGAATCGACCCCGACTTTCGCAGAATTGACAAGAATGAAGTGAAATTATTGCGAAGCCATCATTATCAAGGTCTTATGGAGGATCTTGAAGCAACCGAGGAACTTGGAAAAATACTATCTGACAAAGATTATTGTATTGTTATCATGGCAGTAATAATACTGTGTATGGTGAAGCATGTCAATGAAGACAATGCAGAGAAGTGGGTTAAAAACAGGCTAAAAACTTTTTCTGGTTCGGTGGGTAATTCTGACGTTTTAGAAATTTGGGAAGATCTCCGTCCTTACACAAAATATCTATCACAACTTCAATCTTTCATGTCTGCAAATTTTGACCTAAGAAAATCATGTTTCTTAATTATCCTTGAAATATCACAACAATCAACTGCCACCTCAGAAACATTAATTTGCAGGGATATAGTCCAACTGAGGAAGCGAAATCATCATCTTGTTCTAATTGACAACTACATTTTCAAGAAGTATAGGGAGTTACAAGGATTTTATATGATAGCAGACATTGCTATCCACCAAGGGAACGCTCTCAAAACTCTTCAACAAGAAGAAAACGATAATGTAATGTACATCAAACTGCTGAGGATATCAGATTGTATTACTGGATACTTGACAATGAGATCCAGACGACTAGCTACTGTTCGAATCGGAGAAATGGAGGCAGCTTATCTAGGGCCAAACTACGAAACTGATCTATATTTCGATCAAGTTATTAAAGAGTATCACTTAAGCAACCAAGTAGAAGAAGAAGAGGATACCATAGCTCCAAAGTTTAGATCTATCACTCTAGTCATCCTCTAATAAGAATGGTAAAGAGTAAGAGTAATTAACAATAATCCTAATATTAAATATCATCTTTATTTTGGTATAAGCCAGTATCTATTATCTATTGGTATTTTCCACCTTTATTCTAAAATAACGAATTATAATCAATAAAGATTAGTTAACCCAAAAAAGATTATCATAAATGTAAAAAAACTAACTGAATTCAAGATATGAATTTTACCCCATGGGAACTTAAATACTTCAAGGCGCAAAAAGCTTTTTTGAAAGATCATAATTTATGTGATAGAGAGCCAGACCCGTCTCTTTCAAATAGAGTGACAAAAATAGGTCAATCTTTACATCAAAAGATGCTTAAAGAGAGTCAGAGTAGAACACATATCAATCATCAAGTGGCTTCACGATGTAATGCTTTCATGTTCTAAAAATTTTTAATCTGTTTTTAACTTGTTCTTGTCACACATTTGTGTGTATTTTATATAATTTTGACCGTTGTACCATCTATCCAGCTTTCACCATGTTACTGGGTGTTTCCCTCATCCTGAACGTAAACAACAATTAGCAACATCCTCACATACCACTCTCCTCATGATGATGGCAAAGTCCATTGAAAGCTAGAGAGAATAAAAAAGTATAAAGACTCCTCTTTGCTTAAATTTTTGTCGAAGTACCCAACAAAAGGCGGAAGCTTTAATTTTTCACCTAACTGGTCTAGACGACAATGACCACGTCTCAAGTTATATATATATAACTATAAGGATACATTTTATAATGCATTCTATAATTTTGAATATCATATAACTAAAATACATACTTTCTTAATTATGGCAATAGTTTAATTACACTTATATGCCCTAAAAACATCAAAAATGAGTATTAATAAATAACAGGTAAGTGCAAACGAATAAATATAACAATATAGCTAAAAATAAATACGGGTCTATATGTATACCAATTATCAATATATCAAAAAAGGTCCATTTGCATATAATCTAATTATTCAATATCTCATTCCTATTGTAGCCAACACAAGCAAATCTGTTTAAAACAACCCACTAAACACGCGAGTTACATGAACATCATTTTTATGTAAAACGTACACCTTACAATTTACATACTTTTTGTTATATTGATATTACGTAGACTTGAATACATTGATGTCACATTTATGTAATCTTTATGTTGCTGAGTGTGGTAACTCCATAACTTATAGTTAGGATGTAACGATTATGTAGGACATGTTATATAATATACTCAGTGACATTAGAAGTTTAACACCCAGAAAAAAATAATTTCTTCAACTTGTTTTTTTGCAACATAATGACTATATTTAAAGCATACTGTGGCAACAATGTCAGCGTTTTATCTTTGTTTTTGTTTACCTTTGTTAAAATGTTATATCTTAGTTTTTGTGAAGAAAGCAGTTTCTGAGAGCTGACTAGTACAGATATTTTTAGTTATTGTCCTTTCATTTACGAGTGTCAAGCATAACAAAATGCCTCGAGTTCAAAGACGTCCAAATTATCACCATGTTAGCGACTTTGACAGGGAGTAGAATTATTATTGCCTATCCAGATCTTGGTTTGTCTTATCGCGAAATTGGTCGCCGTGTTAATTGTACCGCAATGACGGTAATGTGTATGTGTCGGGTGTGGATAGAACAAGCTAGAGTAACACAAAGAAGGCTAACTCGTCCACCGAGGCGTACCACAAAGCGTCACGATAGGTGCTTCAGACAACTAGCCCTACGAAACCGTTTTGCTACTACCCATCAGATCGCTGACCAATGGTTTGGAGAAGAAGATAAACCTGTTACTATGCGTACACTCTATCGCCGCATTCGAGCCTTTGAACTTTTTCATACCGTCCACGGTTAGTGCTTCCTCCGACTACGGACCACTGTTGTCACGTTTGAACTGGAGCAGAGAGCGGCGACGTTAGGAGGCAGAATGGCATAATGACATCTTCAGCGACGAATCGCGATTCTAAGGACGCACGTTGGTCGTAGAAGGGTGAGACGCCGCCGAGGAGAACGACGTGATATTGGGTTTGCTGTTGAGAGGCATGTACACAGGGGTGTAGGAATAATGGTTTGGGAGCTATTGCCTATGGTAGCCGATCATACCTTCTCTTTGTTCAAGGCAATATGACTGCTACGCGTTATGTAGATGATGTCCTACAAACCACTTTACTGCCGTATCTAGAGGGCCGCTCACATGTCCTTTTTCAGCAAGACAACACACGTCCCCATATTGCTCGTCGTACTACGGACCTTCTTCAAGAAGCAGGCGTTAATGTTTTGCAGTGGCCACCCCGGATTTAAATCCCATCGAACATGTGTGGGATATGCTAGGGAGGAGACTATTTCGTGAGAATGCCATCGTTTCATTCTTGATGTAAGACTTCCTCATTGCCAAAAAATCAAGTTGAAGAAATTATTTTTTCTGGTTGTAACACTTCTAATGTCACTGAGTATATTAATATTTTCTTGTTATATATCATCTAGGTAAACAATTTCTATCAGAGTTCGTGGTGGGTATTGATGTTGTCGGATTGAAGTAAGCTAATATCGACATTTTATCTTAATAGTTTATTATGTTATTTGCACAAGAAATTTTGAGAATTATTACTTATTTGAGTAACGGTATACTTCTACTAGGTTTCTAATTCAAATGACAATAAAACTAAAATCGTCAAGATGCATTTTAACATTTTGATATCAGACATAAATTAGCGTCGTTATTGAATATTGTTGTGGATACGACTTTTCACTTTGGTTGTAATGTTTATTTAATTTGAGCACTTTTGCTCTCAAACCATGTTCTGATTTTTGTTGTGTTCCTTGTATAGAAGGTAATTGTTTATGTCTATCCAAAAACGAGTTCTTCAATCATCTGGATCACCCGAACGAGTACTGGTGATCTGGTTCACGATGGGTTACGGTTACGTGCGGTGGACGAAGTCCTAGAGTGGGCGGAACGGTGGCTGATTAAAATTAATCATTCGAAAACGCAGGCTATTTATTATACTAAAAAACGTCGCGGCTTCCCAGCCGAGCTTTCGTTAAACGGAAAAGGTACACCATGGACAAATTCTTCCAAGTATCTCGGTGTCACCATTGATAAAGGCATGACGTGGTAGAAAAATACAGCAGCTTTGAAAAGAAAATTCCAAATTGCGTTTCGGCAACTATGTATATCCTTTGTTATGTAGATCCTCCAAATTGAGTTTGATGAATAAAGTTCGACTATATAAAATGAATGTTACACCATCCATTACTTATGCATGTGCGGCTTGGGTGTTTTCTTGCCAAGACACACATGCAAGGTCTTCAAGTACTGCAAAGCAGAGCTTTACGTTCAAAGGTGAGATATCATGTCAAGCTACAAAAATCAAAATTTGTTTTTAGTTCACCTCAAAATTAATAAGTGTACTAAGCCAAAAAGCCTAGGTGTTTCGTCTTAAACTGATACACTTATGTTTTTCTTTGCTCAGATTCGACTAACATACGAGTACATTAGACAGTGACAAATGGGCAAAGGTCCTAAGGACCGTCCAGACAAATAAATGACCAATAGCAGGCAAGTAATGTAAGACTGAGGACTTGATCTGGCACGATTACATCTTAATAGCCGCCTCTGCTGGATATTTATTTGGGGCTAAGAAGTACTTTGCTCCATATGACCACCTCACTTTGTATAAAGCCCAAATAAGTTTTACATTATCCATGCTGGATGCTGGTCAGAGGAGGGTTGTCCGTCTGATAGATTACTCTTTTCTAAAGGACACCGGAGGGCGGACCGCGATCTAGCTCTCTTCCACCTCTAGCTTTGCTCCTAAGAGATATCCTCCATAATGCCGCCGCGCGATGTGCCTGTCGGGCAGACCCGCCTGAGTTCCACCTCCCATCCTAACCTTTTCGAACTTCGCATATCCAGAATTAGCCGATACAACCGCTCCTTCGTCCCTAGGGCATCGAGGTTGTGGAACAATCTACATGAGACTGCTTTTCCCAGTTCCACTAACCTTTAAGAATTGGATTAATAAAGCTCTTCATAGCAGCCGCGGAGCCCTGTCATTTAGGCTTCTGCCTGCGCGGAGGGTTTGGTATAAAAAAGGATCTGCAAATTAGAGAGCATACCGGGTGACTCTACAAAGTGGCTCACCACTATAACTTTTTTCATTATTGAAGATTGATAAACGAAATTTGACGGTTTCGGATTATAGATGAATTTACATTTTTTGACATATTCAGTTGCTTTAACGTACTTCCGGTTTAAACGGAAACTTCTCCAACTTTCGATTTTTAGATGGGATACCCTATATATTTTTACTTATTCCGATCGAGAATGACATCCTGAACTCAACAACGTCTCGCTTGTCAATATTTGACAAATAAAGTCATTATTATTTTTTGATCTAGATTTTTTACTGTATTGAAATTTTAAATAATTAGTTTAATTAGTTTGTTATCTTGTTTTTGCAACAAAGCAATCACAGGATGAAAAAATTTTAGATGACACCTTCATCCACTTATTCCTTCATTTTATTTTCATTATTTTTCTGAATAATTGTAAGAAACGAGCATACCTAACAACCAATAATACATATCTGCATTCGGTATACCTATGCACTAAGTCCTATTACTCTAGTTATTCGTGACAAGGTGTTACTAGGGTTACTTTAACAAATACCTAATCTAGGCTATTCAAAATACCATCAGTTTTTTCATTTGTTACGTAGTTAATTTACAATGTTAAACTGTACTAGAAACGGAAAAATTGGGATGCTGTTGATTCACGGTGAAGCAAGAAAAAATGCAACTAACTTTATCGACAGTGAAAAAAAAATGAAATACAGCAAATTGATTTAGAATTCGACAAGTTGTTCATCTCTTTGAAGAATTCTTCACAAATACCTATAAGTATCGATCATTCAAGTACCAATTACACCAACATCTTTGCGTTGACTGCCGAAACCGAAGATTAACTTTCTGCAACCGATTTTTGACTAAATACAGAGAAGTTGCACGTTTTCCGTTTAAAATTATTTATTCAAACGAAAGTCGGTTTACCAACTTGGGTATGTTCCATATAATAAAAGGTTGAATCAAGCGGGACAGGCACTTTTGTTCTAGTGCTAGCGCGTTTCAATATACTGCCTTTTTAAGTGAAATACTCCGTGAAATATGTCTTCACAGAAACGAAAAGTAACGAACGAATATCGAGTTTATAATGACCGTTGGGAATCAGAATATTTAATCTCAAACAATAATAATAAACTTCAGTGCATTGTTTGTATGCAAGTACTATCGGTTCCTAAAGAGTATAATATGAAACGACATTACACTACGTTAAACGAAAAAACGTTTCGGCAATATTCAGGGGACTCGAGGCAGGCTATCATAACGGAATACAAGAAAAAACTAAAACAACAAACAAGTTTTTTCAAAAAATCTGACTCTGATAACAAGTGCAGTATTGCCGCCTCTTACAAAATAGCGCTGGAAATTGCCAAAGCAAAAAAACCTTTTAGTGCTTATCAAAAAGTGTGCAATAGAAATGGCGAAACAATTCAATGACTTAAAAGTTGCCAAAAAATTTGAAAGTCTCAGTATCGCATCAAACAATTACCATATCAATGAACATGTATCCAAAAAATTGCGTGACGTGGTTAAGAAATGTAAATATTTTTCGCTATGCCTGGATGAAAGCCCTGATCTGTATGACATTAGCCAGCTTGTAATTTTTATCCGAACTATTCAAGACGACTTATTCGTCTCCATGGTACAACCAAGGGAACAGATATTTTTAAAGCTGTGAATAAGTTGGTGAGAGACTACGGGGGATTTGATAAATGTTCCTGTATTGTTACTGATGGCGCCAGAGCTATGACAGGGACTGAAATTGGATTTGCAGGACTATTGAAACAAAACAGCATCAACTGTCCTATGATACATTGTATTGTTCACCAAGAGAGCTTATGTGGAAAATCTTTACGTCAAATAAATTTCATGAAAGTGGCTGTTAAAATAACTAATATTGTTATATATATATATATATATATATATATAGTTACGTGACTGATGAGATGGCCCGTCAATGTGGTGTCACTGTGCTGCGGTTACCGCCCTACCACTGTGAACTGAACCCAATAGAGCTCATCTGGGCTCAAGAGAAGGGTTATATTGCGCGCCATAACACAACCTTCAAATTGCCAGACCTTAAGGTTTTACTTGAGACTTCCATACAGCTAGTAACGCCCGAAGCTTGGCAGAATGCTATCCGTCATGTTGTGAAGGAAGAAACAAAAATGTGGCAGCTTGACCACCACTTCGACACCATCATAGAGCCAGTTATAGTCACACAGTTTATTACTGTCAGATGTAAGTGGAAGCGACGATGAATAAAGGTAATTCCCAAATTTTTGACTTACAATATTTTTCAAACCACTCTTTATTAAGCATGTGACAAATCTAGTTCACCCATGTTAAACATTCATACCCCGCCTATGAACAGCCGACTACTGGTAGTTAAGTGATGTTCACGTGAACATCGATGAGTCATTACAGTTTTAGATAGTTATAGTATAGAGGGGGCAATCGTGCTTTGACTCACAGAAAGTTTCGGGATTTTTTTGCCGAAGTGGATGCTACATATGGGGACTTGTTACTTCACACCGATGTTCGTTGGTTAAGTGCCGTGTTTGCAACGATTTTTCGCTCTACGCAAAGAAATTCCTATTTTCCTTAAAAATGAAGTGAAGTCCGACACTACGGAACTGGAAAATCAAATGGCAGATGCACAATTTTTAGCAGACCTTGCATTTTTAACAGACATGACATCTCACCTTAACGAATTGAATTTGAAGCTACAAGGAAAACAGCAGAATATTGCTAACTTATTTGGACACATAAATGGGTTTAAGAATAAAATTAAGCTTTTCAAGTCTTCATTACAAAAAAATGATTTTTCATTTTTTCCAACTTGTAAAGAACATTTCGAAGAAATGAAGGATTTTGAGGAAGTTTCATATTTACCTCATATAAAATACATTGACACAATTGCAGAAGAATTCAAAAATCGATTTAGTGACTTTAAAAAATCGAAAGCGACATTTCAGTTTTTACTCAGCCACTAATAATTTCTGTTGAGAAGGTAAGCAGAGCAGACCTTCAACTGGAATTGTGTGATTTGCAATCAGATCCCTTTTACCAAGGAAGAACTGAAACTGGCTTGGACTTTTTTAAGTTACTGCCAGGAGAACGATACCCCAACTTAGGACTTACAATGGGATCAATGATGCGAAGCACGTATCTTTGCGAAAGCAGCTTTTCCAACATGAAATTTATCAAATCAAAGTATAGATGTTCCCTCTCTGATAAGTCACTTACTCAGTTACTTCGTTTATCAACAACAAATATTAATGTTAATATTGATGCATTAGTATTGGAAAACCAACATCCTCAAATGTCCCACTGATTTTTTTGTAATTTCATATTTTTTGAATAAATAAAAATAATAGAAAAACTATTTTTGTATACCATATAGTATAGTATATACCCATTAAAACTCAGTAATAATGTTGTATAGAAAGATTTTATAATGCGGCCCTCCAAACTGCATTTTTTTTTGAAGTGGCCCTTGGGCCACATGAAGTTGGACAGCCCTGTTCTAGATCACAAGATCTTACTCCGCTAGATTTTTTCTTTGGAGGACAATTAAAAATCAGGTGTATAAAACGACGTAAGTTACTTGCGGAGAACTGGAGCATAAAGTAAGGGCGGCATTCCGGAACATCACTGCGGAGCAGTTAATCAATGTGGTGCAAGCAATAAGTGATAAAGTTGAACTTGGCAGTGATCAAAGAGGAGGCCATTTTGAACACTTAGGGCCGTATCGTCAGTCATTCGTACAATTGTAGGACGCCTTTATGGCCTACTTGATTTTCATAGTCATTTCTATCCCTCAGAAAATCTGAGATATTTATTTCTAGAGTTCTACTATACTGTGTCAACGTCAGCGCTGTCCTATTGTGATGCTATGTTTTCCTTTTGAGTCGAAGGAAATTTCAGGCTATATAACAGATATAAATCAAAAGCTTGAACAATTTGATGCAAATGGATATTTGGAACATAACCTCAAAACAGAGCGCTGACACGGAACAGTAGAAAAATATTAAAATCAAGGAGGCCATAAAGGCGTCCTACAATTGTAGGAACGACTGACGATACGGCCCTTAGAACCCTAATTTCACATTTTTTTTAGTTTTTGTTACAATAATGATAGGATATGTATTTAATTAATTTGTACATTTTACTCCAATGTATCTCTTTTTCTACACTGAAAATAAAGTTATTTGCATTTTTTTCTGGTTCGTTGCACATTTTGTATTTCGAAAGCAAAACCATCTCTAACTGTCGAACGCGGAGGTACCACCCGGCGGTTCTCGTAGCCGGAGATTGTTTGTCGCGGATGACTAGAATAATATGACTTACTGTAGTGTCAAATTATTCGTAAGCAAATGGTCTCTTAGAAAAAACTACGAGCCACCCCCTTTCTAATTGAAAAAATCAAGTAAACTGAAAAACTAAGTGTGTAACTTTTAGAAGATCCTTAAAACGACTGTAAGGTCGTTCGTCTCAAATTCGTATTCTTCCCGTGTTATTTGATCAAAAATAAAACGATTTACGGGATCCATGGCATTCTAGATCGAAAAATTAAAATATAAATTAAAATGCCTTTATTTGTCAAATATTAACAGAATGTGATTCTTGATCGGAATAAGTAAAAATATATAGGGTGTCCCATTAAAAAATTGAAAGCTGGAGTCGTTTCCGGTCAAACCGAAAGTAAGACAAAGCAAGTGAATATGCCAAAAAATGTAAATTCATCTATAATACGCAAGCGTCAAATTTCGTTTTTCTACCTTCAATGATAAAAAAGTTATACAAGTGAGCCGCCTTGGAGAATCACCTGGTATAACATACATACATTTTGGTTAATTGAGAATACCAAGCATGCATACTTCTTACTAATGTACCTACATGGCGAAGTCGCGTTACCTTGTACATTCAGTACACTTTTATTGGTATTAGTATACGAAACACAGCCTATAATACGTTGACAAAGCGAAATAGACGGCAAGTTTTTTGTATAAACATAAGCACCAATTTGATTGATATGTTATTTGTTTGAATAATAGAGTATTTTTTATTATAGCATTAAAACGTAATTATTGCTTAAATTTAAGGCACGGTACACACAAAGAATCGGTGCAATTTAAAGCTAACCAATGTTTCCCACTTAATTGGTAAACAGTCATATTTTTGAGATTCTGTTATTGTTATAATCACATATACCTGTACTACCAGATTTTTCTTAAAAAATGCTTCAATTGTAAGGTTTGACATACAGCTTAAAAAGAATTTTGGCAAAATGTAACATGCAGACTACAAAGTAAGTAAATTAATGTGTGAAATAATGAACACCTTTTCTGTTAATTTCCTACCCTGTTACCTTCGAGATGCTTCCTAATTACATACACTTCTGAGAGAATGATAATGATGATAATTATAGTTCATTATTAAATTGCACATTTTTTTATTAACGATGACAAATTGCACACATTACTACCACATTGGAATCTATCATAGTACATATAACGTCAGCAATCAATATGCAATTCCATAGAGTTTGTTGCTAAGGCAAGGAAGTGATACACATATATTTTTCAAAGCTAAGAGCGTGACCTACGCTTTTCTCTCGGCCATTTTTGTAGGAAATTGAATGATTTCTACGTTCTTTTCAAAATGTGCTAAATTAGTTTGTTAATATACCCATGTAAAAACTTTTACAGTTTGTTAAGCAAAGACTTTTTTGTACAAAAATACGTTCGATTGATCTTGACTACTTTTTATATGTGACAATTTATCTGTCTTGAACAATACAACATCTATCGGCAAGCCTGTAATATACGTACGTAATAATACATACATCATTATCAGTGCAGATGCTCCTGACAAAATATACATATAGGGTAAACGCTATTAAATTAACAGTAACTCAGTTGTGATACCCAACACAAACATGACAAATTACATGAAGTTTTGCATGAAAGATCACATATAAACTGGCAGATCTGACAATAACTAGTAATATCTCTTCACCTTAATACTTCCTCATTGGAAATTCTTTGTACAACTGCACCTTGGAACAGCTCTGCTGTCTCCTAGTCTTACCGTATCCTCATTGTCGTCATCAAGTAAACCGCTGTCATGTCTTCGCTGAAAAATGATTTCATCTTAATAAAATGATAGGCGCCACTCACACAGATTTTCTGTTCGAGCCGAGTTACAATATTAAAATAATAAGAATGATAATAATAATTAGGGGGCAAAGTTTAGCATAATGCTACTCTGCCACTTAACCCCAAAAAACTGAAACAATACAAAAACATAAAAATATTTGGTAAGTTACAAGTAAGTTAAGGTCTACCCAATCCTTAGTGGTTAAAACTAGATGTAAACGTTACAAGGCGGTTTAGACGGGTATTTTAAAAAAAGATATGTTATCATTTCTGGAACGGTTAGCACTCTGCTTGATGCGATATTTGTCACTAACTTGTCGATAGTGGCTAGGTTTGGGGTTTTATCGGTGGATAATATTTCAGATCATAAATTGATTTACTGCGATCTTAATGTTTCAAAGGAAAGTAAATCACCTAAAATAATAAAACATCGTTATTATAAAAATTTTAACCTGAATAATTTTCTAGCAGATATCCAAAGTTTGCCGTGGAATAATATATTATATGAGAATAATATTGATGATAAAATAACTATTTTAACTAATCTAATTTTTACATTGTTTAGTAAGCATGCACCAATAAAAGAATCACTAATAACAAAACCAAAAGCGCCTTGGTTAACTAACAATATGAAATTATTTATGAAACAAAGAGATGCAGCACTGCAAAAATTTAAAAAATCAAAGCTTCAATCAGACTGGCTAGATTAAAAACATTTAAGAAATTTTACTTTATCGTTGATAAGAAAAGAGAAAAAGGAATACATAGAATCTTTTGAAGGTAACTCCAAAAAACTGTGGTCAGTTTTAAAAAGTTTTAATATCTGTTCTACAAAAAATAATGAAATTCCCCAGTCTTTATCAGAACCTAATGATATTAATAGCTTTTTTGCTGCTGTTCTACAAAATAAATCTGACTGTTCGAAAAAAATTAAATTTTATAAAAACAAAGCCTTTAAAAATAACTTAACCTTTAACTTTAAATTAGCAGAAATAACAAATACAAACAAAATTTTAAACAACATAAAGAGTAATGCAACCGGGATAGATGATATTTCGTCCTTAATGTTAAAATATTGTAGTCCGTACATAGATAAGTATATAACACATATTATAAAGTGTTCCATTAAAACAAGCTACTTTCCCGACAAGTGGAAAATCTCCATAGGAAAACCATTACGAAAAATAACTAATCCATCAAGTTTTAACGAACTTCGTGTGATTCCTGCTTTGTCGAAGATATTTGAAAAAGTGCTGTACGAACAAATTTATGACTTTTTTATGAGTAACAATATTATTCCTGGTACTCAGTGTGGTTTTCGTTAAAATTTTGGTTCATCAGTGGCTCTAACAAACGTACTCGATGACATACTAAGAGCAAATGATAAAAAGATGAGTTCAGTTTTGGTACTTCTAGACTTTTCAAAAGCTTTTGATACCATTAATCATGAATTGTTGGTAGCTAAACTTCAGTACTATGGCTTTAATAAGAAATCATGTTTGTTTTTAAAATCATATTTGACAGGGAGGTATCAATCGATTCTATCAAATGACACATTTTCAGACAAAGCGGAGATCCTATCGGTAGTCCTCAGAGATCAATATTAGGCCCCTTGTTATTTTTAATTTATACATCTGATATCCTTACGTCTTTAAAGTTTTATAAAGTGCAGGCCTTCGCGGATGACACCCAGGTTTATTGTTTTTTTTTTTGATGTTGAGTATTACAAATATTACGAAAATTGTATAAATTAATTAACACCTTGAACAATCTCTCATTAGGTCACAAGTTAAAACTTAATCCGGACAAATTGCATGTAATGATTTTTGGTAACAAATCTAATACTGAGTTTTTGAAAGCTAATCTCAATATAATGACTAATAACTAATTGAATTTTGTTGTAAGTACAGAAAATCTCGGTATAGTTTTAGATTCTCAGCTTAGATTTAAATGTCACCTAAAAAATCTTATGCAAAAATCATTTTGTTCTCTAAAAGTTTTGTATAATAACAGACACATACTAAACAGAGAAAAAAAACTGTGTAATTCTTTCCAATTTCAATTATTGCGATGTTGTCTATGGGTTTTGCTTAGATCGGGCAAGTACAGGTCGTATTCAGAAGGTGCAAAATGCGTGCCTCAGGTTTATCTATGGTCTGCGTAGGTTTGATCATATATCTCATTTGTATAAAGAAATTAAATGGCTTAAAATGAATAAGCGTCGCACTCTCCATTTTTCTAGTTTTTTATTAAAAATTATAAACACTCCAGGTTCACCTGATTCTATAAGAGAACTCTTAATTTTCCGACATTCTGTTCATGACATAAATTTAAGATATTTAAAAAAATTAACTATTCCGCTTCATAGTACTGCATTGTTTCAATGTTCATTCTCATACAATGCTGTTAAACAATTTAATTCAATTCCCAACCAGTTTCTTTCTCTTTCAAGTTTCAAAATACAATATAAGAAATATTTGCTAAATACAAATCAGAACAAACTTCCAACCAAATTTTATAGTGACCAGTATTAATTAATATCTAGTTAAAATTTTTATTTACTTTCAGTCCATTTAGTGTTAACACGGGATGATTATTCTGCATTGTTGTTTGAAGACTTATTACTATTGTTATCTTTTTTTCTTATTTTGGTTCAGTAGAGTAGCTTTAAGCTAGACTTGCGCCAATATTAGGCAATGTATTCTGTACTTTTTTCTAAATTACTTTTGTAAAAAGATTATTTATTGTATTCAATAAAGTCATTTATTATTATTATTATTTTCATATTATTTATTTCGGAAATAAATTTCTCAAACATAACAGCCATACCTTAGCATTGCCATCACAGGTAAGAAACCGCAATAATTTTAGTAACATTTTTTTCAGAGCTGTAACTGAACTTTACAATTTAATTATGTTATTTATAACTTTAACTGAACTCTAGAATTTCTAAATATTTGATGTGGGTATAACAAAACCATAATTTTTATTTGTAACTGTAACTGAACTTTACAATTTTAAAATATTTGATGCGGGTATAACCGTACATCAGTTTATACATAATTTTTTGTCGCAGCTGTAATTAACTTTACAATTTTAAAATATTTCATGCAGGTATAACCGTATAACAGTTTAAACATAATTTTTTGTCCTAACTGTAACTGAACTTTACAATTTTTAAGTATTTCGTGCGGGTATAACAATGTAATTGATTCAAATTATTGAAACATTCATTAGACCAAGTAAGTAATAAAAAAAAGTAGATGGTTAACATACCCAATGATATGAAAAAAACAGGGAAGATGGGTTATCTACTTATACAACTTAAACTTGAATGTCATTTAGAGTTACACAAAACGCCAACCGATTTACAAAGACACTTTCTACTTCCACACTTGGTTCTACAGTGGCATCTTTTATAGCCTTGTCTACCAGATGAATATTGGGCATCGGCTATTAGGCGCAGTGATTTGTTATCGGGCTGAACATTTTCAGGGTCTAAAAATTTTGATTCCACACATGCTGAATTGATTCCTAGACAAAAATTCGGGCACTGTGCCAAACTGGTTGCCCAACTTATATAAACCATCCCCAGTACATTCAAGTACCACCATTAAAACATTTTGGAAGTCTGCTCAACCTCTACCAACGTTAGGAATTTTGACACGGACGGTATCGCCTACCTTACAAGGAGGAAACTTTTAATTTGACGAAGCTGTCATTTTATTAGACTGTAATAGTAAAGAAACTGCCGCATCTTTCCTACTATTATCTATTTTCCGTTTCTTTTTGCACAAGTCACACTTTTCACCTCCCTTCTGGTCACAAAGCTAGCAAACTGCTTTTTCTCTAATTTTATTTCCATGGGATTCGATTTCTGTCTTATTTACCTCGCTACTGTTATTTTTCAACTGTTCAAGAATTTTCTCGAGATCCTCCTCTTTCTCGATCTTTTCGATTGCTTCGAGAGGTAGAACTGATTACCTTAAGCCAACTTTAACATCACAACCAAACATTTATTGGTACGGCGATATTTTAATTCCATGATGATATGATCTATTTTTCATTAGTTGAACGAATCTCCTTCATACCATTTTTGACAATTTTCATCGATCATCCACATCATGAGCATTTTTGGACGTTCTACGCTACCTTGTGACTGGCTATGGCGCGGCTTCCCATGCACAATCTTTAGACCTGGCAACATTTCTGGCAAATTTCCAACAACTCGGTTAACGATCACCCGACCATTATCAGATTGCAATATACGTATAGATGGTGATCCGAATATGCATAATATGTTGTATATCCAGCAGTACCTTCGATACTTCCGCAGACTTATTTTGTAACGGGCGTAGCTGTAATCCTGGTAAGCTAATATCAAGTTAAAACTACCGTCTGGGTTTGTTTGCATGTCAGTTCATTGCATAAAATGGGTTTTGATTGAATTTTGTTTCATTTGACATGAGTTACAAAAACGAAGACAAATAAGAACAGCGTCCTGAGTAATGCTTGCGTACTTGTTCTTAGCTTCTACAATCATCTTATTTCTCCAGCCGAACATCGAATATGTCTTCATTCTTGTTGTAGTATTTGAGGTCCTCGGTATTTTCGCCATTGGATAAAGGAGCAATTAACTTTTCGATGTCACCAATGCAACACACATCGAAACGCTTCAAATGCCGATATTGTACTATACATTACTCATATAACGATTATCGCCTTGTTTCGAAGTCAATATGAGCTGAAGCTCTCCGTAAAAACTTCGATTTCATAGATTCCGATTCTTTGAACATTGCCATTTTAAATCACAATGTGAGCGCGAACGCGATACTTCAAATATACGTACGCGTACCTACAGTTGGGTGCAGAACCGAGTCAATGTATCGCTATTGTTTGATTATATCAAAAAGAATCCTTATTTAATATAAATGTTCGAAAAATGTTGTTATATAATTTTAGTTTATATCTCTGTTATTAATTGATATTGCTATTATTATAATATATGTATATCGATATTGTCCAGTAACTACAGGGTCCGTCAGAAAGAACGTATGTTTTTCGAATGGGTACTACATCGGTGGGCTGGTTCCGTGTCGGTGGGGACGGGCGTGATGGATAGTGGGAGAAGTGCCGTTTCAGTTGGCAAGATGGTTTGGAACATTGAGCATCGTGTGTTCACAGTACGTCAGTACCTTCAAAATGGCGAGTCTGTCGTTCGAACGCAACGTGAGTTTCGGGCTCACTTTCGTGTTCCACGTCGTGGGACAGTACCAGACCGTAACACCATTTTGAGATGGGTGGAAGCATTCAACACAACAGGTTATGCGATGTAATGAAGAAAAAACCGCCAAGGTGAAACCGTACTGTTAGAACCCCCGAAAACGTAGACAGAGTGAGAGTTGACACGCAAAGCCCGAATCGTTCGGTCCGTTTATGTGCCAGTTCTCTAGAGATCCACGCGTTATCTGTACGTCGCATCTTGAAGGATTTAGTGTTCCATCCTTACAAAATCAGTTGGATAACAATGACATGACGTTTATGAGTGATGAAGCACATTTTCATTTACATGGATGCGTGAATAAACAAAAATGTCGATATTGGTCTCCAGTGAACCCCCAACAGTTGCATGAGCACCCCCTGCATACCCCGAAAGTTACAGTTTGGTATGCAGTAGGCCCAACGATAATTATTAGGGCTTTTTGAGGATGATGGAGAAACAACTGTGGATTCAGAGCGTTACATCCACTTGCTGAACAACTTTTCCGGAACTTCGACGTCGACGTGTCCGTCTTAGAACAGTGTGGTTCCAACAAGACGGGGCAACATCTCACACAGCTGCACTTCGATGGAACTTCTTCGGAAAAAATTCACAGGACGTCTCATTTCAGGTCATAGCGATATTCCATGTCCCCCTCGCTCCCCGGAGCTGTCAACGTGTGATTTTTTTATGGGGCTACCTGAAATCAAAAGTTTACCAAAGCAAGCCTCGGACCCTCGTCGATTTGAAGGAGGAAATAAGAAGAGAAGTAATCCAAATTCCTACACGGATGCTGGGCGACGCAATGAGGCTTGATTCCTGCACTTCGGTTCAAGGACGCCATTTGGCCGACATAGTTTTTAGAACGTAAATTTTGTTCTACTCAAAAAAATGACATGTATTTCTGAGTAGTTTGATATAATGAAATGTTTTTCCCATACTTATTTTGACTGTTCTACCATTTTAAAAAACATGCGTTCTTTCTGACGGACCCTGTACACGTCAAAACGTTGTAATACTTGATATTGATTGATTCACTTTTGCACCGTGTTTATAACCAACTTACGCTCAAGTATTTAAACACGTTTAAACTTGTCAGGGTTAGCGGAGAAAAGCAAATTTGCTTTGTTCATTGATCAGTGTATTTCTACATCGCACAGGGAATAGTTTAACGTAATACCTTTTTTTATTTCAATCCTGAAACCAACTTTGAAGAGTATTGGAGAGTCTGCTAAATAGTCACTCATAAGTCGGAAATCGACAAGAGTTATCGCTCGACAGTTAAACGTGAGTCAATCTACTGTACAGAGAATAAAAGCAAAGTGTGAAGTTCCTATGCCAAGTCATTTTGGTGGTCGTAGTAAAAACTTATCTGATAGAAAGGTAAGAAAAGTTCACTATTTAAGATCAAGTGAAGAGTCTTCAGCATCGGAAGCGGCGGCGCTTTTAAGGCAAGACTGGCACGTCAGTGAATAAGTGGACTGTTCGTCGGGCATTACACAATGTGACTATGCGAGCTGTAGAGAAGAAAAAGAAACCTCTCCTAACTAAAGATATTGAAGCTAGACAAGAATTCTAAAACAACTGGACTGAGTGATTGGATGGAGGTTATTTGATCCGATGAGACTAAAATTAATAGATACAGCACAGATGGGCGAAAATGGACTTGGAAAAATAAGAGGAAGCTTTACAAGCAAAGGATTTTATACAAACAGTGAAACATGGTGGTGGCAATATCAAACTTTGGGGCTGCCTAACAGCTTATGGTGTGGGAACAATTCACAAAATCGTACAGGGTTCGATCGGTATATTTCTTTTATTCATCCACTTATACAGGGTGAGCAAAGGAAGTCATGTTTTTGGACTATCCTAAAAGAAAAGTGATATCTGAAATTTTTCGAAAGTTGGCTATATATAACTCAAACTACCGAATTTTAAACTTCCCGCAATAAATGTCTTTCGGCTCGACCTAGTATGTTTTTTGATTACCCTCTCCATGCAAATAGGACGTTTCTTCGGTTTCATCCTAACTAGCTACACCTCAAACATGCAATTACTAAGTAATAATAATATTGACTGTAGACTTGACAGTATAATTTTATTTTCTCAAAAATGCCTCATCTTTTTCAAAAAGTACGAGAGAATTATATAAGATTATTGGGAGAAGGTCGTTTAGTGAATGATGTAGCTTTAATTTATAATGTTGATCGGTCCTTAATATACTGTTTAAGGCGTAGAAATCAGGATACCGGGAAAACGTCCTGCTTGCATGGAGGAGGTAATCCAAAAAAAAACGAGGCCGGGCAGAAAGACAGTTATTGCCGGGAGTAAGGGAAGGAAGACCCTGTCATCCAGAACCTTGAATGAAAACTTATGGAGATACAATGGAACAATAGCTAGGTACTTTTTTAAAGTAGCATTTTTTCCCTGAGTAAGGCATCGTGCCAAGTGTACCCGACTCTTGAACAATCATAGAGTCGCCAGGTACCAATGGGCACAGGTGAGGGTAAATTGGCATCAGCAGTGGCAAAATTGCATGTTTTTCAGTGAAACATGCTTCAACATATACCACTCTGATGGTAGGGTCCTTGTTTGGAGGCAAGTTGGGGAACAATATGATGAAGAAAACATGGCTCCACAAGAGGCATTTGGTGGAGATGGCATTCCTGTTTGGGCTGGGGTTATGCACAATGAAAAACCGCACTTTTTATATCAAGCAGAACAGTCAATACTGCAGGTTATAGGGACACCATTATAAACAATATTGTTGTACCTTTTGCACAAGATTTTGGGGAGGATTTCGATGATAACGTTAGGCCGCACAGAGCTCGTATGGTTATAACCTTTTTGGCAGAAAATAATGTTACATAATTACCTCTACCCTCAAAGGCTACAAACATCAACATAATTGAGCATGTTTGGTCTCTGCTAAATTTTTTAGTGTGGTCAAGACAAAATGTTCCTCAAACAACTGTGTGTGGCCATTCAGAAAGAGTGGGAAAATGTATCCCAAGAATTTATTAATAACTTTCTGGAAAGTATGTATATGAAGATGCCATGCTGTGATGGATGAGCAGGATGGCCCTACAAAGTACTAATCATATTGTCTAAAATAACTGTTGTTGTTTTGTAAAGAGCTCGTTTTTGTCATAAATGAATATTTTAAGTATATAACTGCTCTTCAAATTTTTGTTTTCTAAAATGTTACATATTTATTGTTAATGTTAATAAACAAATTCTTTGATGTTTAAAAATTTAATAGAGTCTATTACCTATTCGAAAACATCTCCAAGCTAATGCTGAATGAAAAAGATAAAAAAATAGCATTTTGAAAAAGAATTTTAAATCATTAGCACTTCTTACCAAGCCAATAAATGCATTTTTCAAAAATTTCAGGGAGTAGGTATCGCGCACTGCTTTCTTTGGAGCTGAGGTGCAAGACAGTTTGTAACTACTTCTTGATAACTGATTATAATAGCTCTTATTGGGTACTTTAAACCCTGAAAAGCACACCGACACACTTCTGCAACTTTAAACGAAAAAAAATTTTTCCTAAATTTCAGGGAGTATCGCGCACCGTACGCGACAGACTTCTTTCTTTGGAGCTGGGGTGTAAGACCGTTTGTAACTACTTTTTGATAACTGATTATAATAGCTCTTATTGTGTACTTTAAACCCTGAAAAGCACATCGATGCTCTTCTGCAACTTTCCACCAAAAACTGTTTTACTAAATTTCAGGGAGTATCTCGCAGAACCACTTAATGCAATACTGCAATAGCATAAGACTCATAGGCACAGATAGCATATATATATAATTACCACGCTCACCTGGTATGCGCGTTACAGGCTTCTATGAGTAATGCTACGGCCACGGCGTATCGTAGGCAGACAGAATTAATTCGGTAATCTGTAATCTAGTGGCATGTAGGATTGTGGAGCCAGCTTTTGGAGCTACCTTGACACTCATTTCAATAAGAGCTTTAATCTTTTCTCGGTTTTTTTTTTCTTCACTTTTTGCAACAGTATGAGAAAAAATACCAATTCTCAAGATCAAGCCCAAAAAGGTCCCTTTTTAGGGATAAATGTAACACTTTTTTAAAATTTGAGTTACAGCCAGATTTTGAAAACTTCGATAAATTACTTTTTTTTGGATAGTCCAAAGATCAAAAAGATGTATAGAAGAATGTCCAAGTAAAAAAATTAAGAATCTGACATAGCCTCAAACTCTGCTAAGAAAACTTGACTTTCTTAGCTCACCCTGTATAAGTGGACAAATAAATGAAATATACCAGTCATATGCTGTACATGTTCTCAAAGAGTTGGTCAATAACCTCAAAATTACTGAATTCTGAAAATATTGAGATTTGAATTTGGGTAAGATTGTTGCAAAGCAACTGTCCACTAGTTTATATATGCATCTGATATTGATCACTCAATTTGGGATACCCTTTATATATAAAATTATTTGAATGCTGTAATATGTTGTAACCTTACCTTTAATTCTGTAGCTAGATAAATGAAGGCCTCCTCAATGTTAGAATTTGTCTTAGCACTGGATTCTAGGAAAAATAGCACCTCTGGCAAATATTGACACATAGCCTCTGCTTCCTCAAACTCTACTTCCCTCAGGGTTTCTAAATCAGCCTTATTTCCAACCAATGCTATCAGTACCGAGTTACCAGAGTACCTTCTCACTTCTTCGATCCATCTAGTCACAGATAGAAATGAGGAACGTTTTGTAATATCATATACTATTATCACACCATTAGCAGATCTGTAATAGCTTTGAGTAATTGTTCTAAAACGTTCTTGGCCAGCTGTGTCCCATATCTGCAACTGTAATTATAGAATTTTACGTACACAGTCAATTTGAATATAAAGGAAATTGATTCTTGTAAATGCATTTTACCTTCACTTTTTTACCGTCTACAATGACTGTTTTCATCGAAAAATCGACTCCTATCGTATTTCCATGTCTTTCAATAAAAGTACCGTTTTTAAATCGTTGCACTACACAAGTTTTTCCAGTGCCACAATCTCCAATAAGTACTATTTTAAACAAGAAATCGAATGTTTCGTCGGTTGAAATGGTCATTAATGTAGTTGGATTTCTTGTAGTCATTATTTTAGACTTGTAAAATATCTTCCATCATCATACAAATGCACTTTTCCTAAAAATAAACATTACACACAAATAATAAACGAAAATAACCTCTTGGAAAATGCACAAATCATATAAACCACAAAATATATACACTGAAGAAGCTACAGTTTCATGCTATCCATTGGTCAACACGGTTGACTTATGTCAATGTAAAGTCACCATTTTTTCTGGGTGCGTCATGGCTGCCAAATTGTGCATAAATGCCACGCAATATTGCCAGCTTTACACAAATCTGAGAATGCCGTACTTTCACTTAAAGGAAACGGGAAATCTAATAGCTGCTGAAATATCAACATTTTGCGCTATCTTGATGAATATGTGCTTTCTTTTATGTTAAAACAGCAATATCAATAACACAAGCTGTTATAAGATCACCAATATCTACTTAATAATCTGGAAATGTTCAGAAGAGAAGTAGATGTTATAAATACCTAAATTCATATTTATTTTATAAATCTCATACATTTTTCTCAAACCGGTATTAACATCAATTATAGTCCAGATGTTCTCATTCCCAGCCTTGGTTGGCCCCTGCGTAAATCAAAAATTACGGAAAAATTGTGTAGATATGTTACAGTTCTCAAATTTCTTTTTTATTAGAACAAGGTTATTGTCTTATGGGCACCCGCAGAAGTTTTTCTCAGGGGTGCTAGTCATGTCGAGAGAGGCAGCTTTTTGTGAATGTCTACCTGTCCCCAAAAACTTTTTGTAAGTCCAAATTCTAAAAAATGCCAAAGTTGTACACAAAATCACGATAAATATGCAAATTGTCAAGGTCAAGCATCTCCTGATCCCTCTGTGGGCGCACATGTTATTGTTCAAAAAAGTCCGAAAAGTAAGTACCTACCACACAGACACACACACAGACACACGCACGCACGCACGCACGCACACGCACACTCACACGCACACGCACACATACACAATTCAGTCGCATTTATGTTTTTATTTACACAAATCTGATAATTTTGAATGTTTTCACAGTATCATCATTCTCATCGATGTGCAGGGTGGTTAATAACTAAGAATGCGAGGTACTGTGTCTTGGAACATATCCATCGTAGAGTCTTGTCTCAAAAACAGTTGTTACCAAAACGGGCAAGAGAAAAACCTGGAAAATATTTTCAAGTTTCTGAAATGACCGCTAGAGAGATTAACTTTAATCTTGAATCTAAAAAAGTGATATGTTTCTGTTAATTCCGCTATATTAACATCACAAAAAATACATGATCTATATAAATTCGAGGATAATCTGAACCTTTTTTGTTTGACAATGTTCTATCTCTAAAAATAAAGCGGTGGGAGGTATTGAAAAGAACTATTCTTGGGGTATAAATGCTATAATATTTGAAGTTTTGTTAGTTTCAGCTGTGGCAACTAGAGGACTAGGAGAGAAATGGTTAATTTTCTCGAAAAAAAATAAATACATCGATATTATTATTTATGAAAAAGTAGCTAAATCCTGTCTGAACAAGCTCGCGAAAATCTTGTTCCTAACCTAAAGTTTATGCCAAAGAAAATTTTATACGGGAATCTCTCAAGTTTTTATTTTTTGAAATTTTTTTAACCCTAAAAAGAACCGATTTGAGAAATAAAGGTTTTTCACGCCCTCGTAAATGCTCGAAATGCTGACCATCACGCTCTTTGCATTTTGGGTAGACAAAACCGCAGCTTCAATTTCGGCTCTCGGTATGTTACTTATTGCATTACAAATGCGTTTTTTTATTATATCTTCTCTGGTTGTAGGTTGAATCTGAAACACGATGTCCTTTAACCGTGCCCATTAATGAAAATCAAGACAAGTTAAGTCTGGTGATCGCGAAGGCCATGGATACAGGATTCCTCTTCCAATCGACTGCTGTTGGAATACTGCATTAAAATGATCTCACACAATAATAGCAAAATGTGCTGTGCAACCATTCAACTGCAAAAACAAGTTTTGCCGTGTTTCCAATAGCACATCTTCCAATAACAACGGTATTTGATTGTCCAAAAAGTCAAGAAAGACATTGCTATTTAGGGATTTCTCGAAACAATATGCCCCAATAATTCTGCCTCCCAGTATGCCACACCACACATTTAAATTCCAACGCACTGAGTGCTGAACTTAGGTCAACCAAGGCGGATTTTCTGCAGACCAATAATGCATATTGTGGAGATTAACTCTTCCATAATTATTAAAGGTGGCTTCATCGATACAAAGAATTTGAAATAAAAATTCTCTTCCTCTTTCAAAGCCTGATGCAAATCGACATGATATGGGTGCATTCTAAATCCCTATATTTTGATGGCCTTACCAATGGTCCTTCAAAATATTTTGAACCGTTGTTCGTGATAGGTCGAACTCAAGGGAGAATACCTTGTGCTAACATGAGGATTTCCTTCAATACATATATCCCAGTACGCGCTTAATATTGCCTTGTGTTCCTCCAATTCTCTACCGTTGAAACGTAGACCGAAAACTACCATTATGTGGGTTCTGGAGCGTCGTCTGGCGCGCTTAGGGCTTTCGCACATGCATCGTAAGCGTAGTCGTTTCGTAAGCGTATCATTGCGTCGCAATGCTTACGAGACCTGCAGTCTTTCACACACGCATCGTCACGTACTCGTATCGTTTTGTAAGATCTCAGTTGAAATCATGGCGGCAACGGTACCAGATGTTTCTGGTGTATCCATTGATGATCTTACATTTTCTTCAGACGAAGAGAATTTTTTATTGTTTGATTATGTTAGAAGTGGAAAGCTCATTGGATCCATCCATATATCGCAAGTAATAAGAAAAGATTATTTTTTGCTGCACGTGGACTTTCAGAAGATGATAATAAATTCAGAAGCATTTATCGAATGAGGAAGGAGACATTTCAACCATATCAAGAGGAATCAAACAATACTTTTGAATTTTACGCTTGCTTCTACGTTTGCCTTACGCCAGACCGCTGCGACTGTCGTAATACGACTGAAGATCTCAAAGGCTTCGCTGCAACACCGCTTCGTGTGCGGACTTGTAGCACACATACGAACTCGTTTTGCTCTCGTCCTACGCGCGTATTTCGATACGACGTAGTGTGCGAAGGCTCTAAGGCCCGTATCGTCAGTCGTCCCTACAATTGTAGGGCGCGTTTATGGCCTCCTTGATTGTCATACTCCTTTCTCTCCTTAAAAAATTTCTAGATTACACTTGTCCCGTGTCAGCGTCAGCGCTCTCCTATTGTAAAGATATGTTTTCTTTTTAAATTGTAGGAAATTTCCGGCTGATAAAACATGATATAACTCAAAAGCAAGCACAATTTGATGCAAATAGATGTTTGTGACATAACCTCAAAATAGAGCGATGACACGGAGAAGTAGAAAACTATGACAATCAAGGAGGCCATAAAGGCGCCCTACAATTGTAGGGACAACTGACGATACGGGCCTAAGAGTAGCGTGCGTGCTTGGAGCGTACGCGCTTGGAATGTTATACAAGACATGTGACAACATTCCTGAAGCGCACTCCAACTATGTGCGTTTGGAGCGTACATACCAAAACCGTACGTCTAAATACAAAACTCCACAGTTTTAGAGTGGCGCGTTGGATTTCTAACTGGTTGATGACTCCAGCGCGATGCGTCAATTTCAACAACATGTTTAAGAAAAAGTTAAGAGACCAGGTGATAGCTTGTGCTGCAATATACGTATATTTTCACATGGAAACCAGAATAAAATAAGGTTTTGGGTAAAAAAGTTGCGCGAAGAACGTTTTCTTTGGAAAATGGCACTAATTCTCGATAAGCAGTGTTTTCAAGTTTTTGTTTTTATGGTCTTCACTTTTTACCTTCCATCAGCAAGGATGGTCCCTATGTGTGAGTTCCGTTCTGGCGGTCTGACGTTCCATGCACCTGCGGCCGAGTATGTACACGGAAGTTTTGGTCCGAGAGAATTGGCAAAAACCGTACGTGTATGTAAGCTCACTAATCTGGAAATACTCTTCAGATCGCAAATACGCCGATTTGGGTATCGAGTTGCGGCATTCTGAAGACATTCAAAATAAACTGCAAGCATATTGACAGCTTCATCCTTCGTAAAATGCATTTGGTAAGCACAAAAATTGACCAAAGTAGCGCAAAACTATTGACAATTTGAGGATTATTTATGTTTTGATTAGGTATTTGTTTTGTTGTACTCCATGGCCTGCTTCTATTAGGTGTGGATTAAAACAATGGATTCTACAAAAATAAATGCACTAATTTATTTAACTTGACTTGAGAGAACATTTATGTACACCACTATGTCTCACTACTTATTTACGAATTATTATGTCGCGCCATTCACTCAACTCTACTCTACTATGCTTCCCTCTCCCGCGTTGCAGGTACTCGTTGATTCGAGAAGGTTCCAGTGAGCCACATAGCGGCAGTTCAGAATCTTTGAGGTCACTTCGCGTCGATCTCGAAGGAAAGTCCCTGCATGGTCCTCAACACATGTCGCCAGCACCGAAGGAGAGTCTGGCGCGGTCCCCAATAGATGGCGCCAACACTACTATTCATTCTTGTTACTGTACAATGGAGAATATGCATTTATTTTATATTATTATTATATTTATTATATATTTGTTACTAGTTATTTTTTATTCACCTCTTAGCTATATTTTGAAATATTTTCAAAAAGGGTGATTTTATTCTGATGGATACAAAAGAATTAGAGAAAAATTATTAGTTTAAAAAAATAAAAATTTAAAGGATTTCCGTATAAAATTCTCTTTGGTCTAAATTTTAGTTTAGGAACAAGATATCTAGATACTGTTTTCGGGAGCTTGCTTAGACATAATTTAGGTACTTTTTCAGAAAAAAAGGAATATACCATGATATCTAATATTTTTGTAGAAAATTAAGCATTTCTATTAGGTTGCCGTAAAAAGTCCTCTAGCGGCCACATGTGAAACTAACAAAACTTCAAATATTATAACATTTGTAGTCCAATAACTGCTATTTTCAACCAAGTTTGTTAAAATCGGCACAGCCGTTTGGAAGATACATAGTGTTGTTTACGAAAACCTTTGAATTCCCCAGCACTTTATTTTTAGAGATATACAGGAAACATTGTCCACCAAAAAAGTTCACATTACCCTCAACTTCAAAGATCAGGTATTTTTTTGTTAGGTACAGTGCCTTGTGGAACACCACTCAGCACTGGACAGGTCACTTAGGCCCTTATTATTGACGACAAGAATTAAAATTTGGGCCTTTGGCACAAATTGGACCAATAAGAGAGATAATGGATTTAATGAATTTGGTGGAGTTCTCGTAAAATATCTCTCAGTCTACAGAAAAGAGATAAATTATGCCATGCATGTAAGATAGGTTCCTATTTCTCATATTAAAAAACTCTTCATATATCACGTAATTCGACTACAAAAACATATTTTTCATTTGTGTCCGGACACAGAAGTTAGCACAAATTCTATCAGGCAAAAAGGATTTGTGGCCTACTCGAGGTATGGATCAAACCTCATACAATAGGTTGACATGATGGCATTACAGAGCAGTTTATTGAAAATAACAGTATAAATTACAGAATGCTTATTCTTTAACAAAAATCCAGTAAATATTGAATTTGTACGTAGAAGCATCTTAGCTGAGGAGTAGTCAGAGGTGTCAGGTTTGATTGCGTTGGTTATCAATTTGATGGTGGTCTGTTCTCGTTTTGTTTTGTATTTAACAATGTTTACATTAATGCAATGGATTGAAAATATCACAGCAGCGAAGAATGTGTGGCAAAAGTAAGTATTTTTCTGTTTATTGTAAATAATTTCACCAATACAACTTTATTTCAAGGTTTCCATAAATGAATAGTCATCAATACTTCGTCGCTTCTTTTTGGACAAATATACTCGTTTCTATTATTGGTTCACTCAAAGTACACTAGATCATATTGGAATAGTATAATGTTTACGTTTGCAAAGAATATATGCAGCCGCTGGCAGGGTACGCGGCAATTCCGGCTGCTTCTGAACACTGATCATCAGTCGTTTATACAATGTAGGACCCCTCTACGGCCTCCTTGATTTCCAGTTTTCGACTGTTCCGTGTCAGCGCTCTATTTTGAGGTTATCTCACAAACATCTATTTGCATGCTTTTGATTTATATCATCTATTTTATCCGCCTAACATTTCTTACAATGCAAAAAGAAAAATATCTTCACAATAGGAGAACGTTGACGGAAATATCCCAGCCTTTCTGAAGAATAGACTATGAAAATCAAGCAGGCTATAAAGGCGTCCTACAATTTTAGGAACGTCTGACGATACGGGATACGGCCCTAAAACCACATTATACTAAGACATCGTTATGCTAGCGGAATTTACATGCGATTTTCTCCGTCGAAATGGCGGCTGTTTTTAACACTGACAGGAGAGTTTCATAGCTGATTGTTAACTAACAGACTTAACTAATAAGCTATGGTATTACGTTATCTATCTTCAGGTAGAATACGTTAGTGAATATCTGTACCCAGAGCCACACTAGGTTAAGTCCATTTTTGTCAAAAATGAGTTTTATATGTTAAGCTTATGATAATATTGTGAATTTTCGTTTGCTACATGCAGCGTCCATCTACCTGTAATAATAAGGAAGCTACGAATTTTTAACTCATATCAAGTCGTATTCAATACAATGCAAGAAAAATATTTCATATATAATTATCTCAAAACTACTTATTTGGACTTAGCCTAGTCTGGCTCTGAGGTACAGATATACAGGCAGTCAAAATCACGAAAGATAACTATTATATCACACCATAAATTGTACGTCGATGATAAAATCACAATGTCAGGAACATAAAATGACAACAAATTTATATCATGGTTCTGTGAAGTTAGGTTATTTCACTGATTATTTTTATTTTCATTTTATTTCATGGTTTTTGAGTGATACTTTAATAATAATTTTAGTGAGTAGCTTTTGTTTTGAGAAAAAAAACAGTTATGAGTAGAATACCTTGAAACAGGAACACCAAAGACCAAAACATTACTCAAAAACAAGCTAACCTGCTTTAACATAACCTAACTATTCAGCTTTCAAATATGATAGATCATGCAACATGAAAACATCGTCTATCTTTGTCGGATACATGCAAATTAGCAATACAGTCTGTTTAGACAATAAAATTATGTTTGTCTCTCTCTCTCTCTAACATATCTGAAACTTCATTAAAAATATTCACAAATCGCTGTCATTTGTAATTACTACAGACTAAAATGATGACATAATCGTCATCTTTCGTGATTTCGACTATATTATAGTCTAATGCCCTCTCCAGACTCACGCGAGAATCGCGCGCGAAGCCGCGAACTACCCGCAACCCATGAATGTAGATCCCATTCGCGTATTCTTCGCGACTTCACGTCGCGTTCGCGCGTTTTTCCCGTTTGTTGCCGGCTTTTTGTCCCGCGACTAAGGGTTCGCAAGGCGCGAACATGACTAGGCTCCACATTCGCTAGTGGCTCAGTTGCCTCCTAGCGAGTGCCGGAAGTGATTGTGTTTTTCCACTTATTTTCAATTGTTTTAGATTTACTTATATATGTGTAATTATAAATTGCCAAAGCGCAAAGTAGCCCTGCAGCAGTAGCAATTTCACCATCCATACTCGTCAAGAGCGCGAACTATACTGTGAAGCAGGCGCAGGGTGTGTGAGTGTGGAAGTGTAGCAACAAATTTCGGGATTCGCACCGCGATCCGCGCCGCGATGTCGCGCCGTGATTCGCGCGTGAGTCTGGAGCGGGTATGTGTTACGGGAATATATTTATATTATTATTAAAAATTATTTAAAAAATCATTATCAAGTTAAATGAATACCGTTTTTACAAATACTGTTCAAAATTGTCCCCATTTGTTCGATTAACGCAAAATCTTGATCGACGAATCCACGACTCTTTACAAGCTTCGAAAATAAAATCCTGCTATCCACGAATTTTAATTGGTGATTTATCACAAGCATTTTCAGTGAGCTGCTGAAGTTCTTCTAGGATATTTACTATACACCAACTCTTTCAAATAGCCCCACAGAAAAAAATGCAAGGTCTTTTCGGAAACTCATTATTTAGAAGTTCATGAACTTCTCGTCTAAAATGTGGTGGAGCCCCATCATGTAGGAGCCTCACATTTAGAGGAGCATCTTCTAATAATTGTGACAGATTTTGTTGAAGAAAATCTAAATAAATTTCACCGGTCAGTCGAGGTGGAAAAAGTAGTAGTCAATCTTTTACTATTTCTTTTATTATGCAACTTTTATATAGGTGATTTTTGGTATATAAACTTCTTTTGACGAGTCGTACAAGCAGTTAAAATAACTGACAACTTTGAAAACACCATGTAAATACAGAAATTATTTTTTTTCTTGGTGTCCATTCCTGATTGAAGTGGAAATGTTAAATTTTATTTCTAACTACCATACTGTTTATATATTTCAATCGGTGGTTTGCACCGGTTCGGGTTAAAGTGAGGGTTAGCGCTAACTTCGAGTTAGTCTTTGCACCGTCATAGTTATCTCGGAGTTAAGGCCTAACTCTGGGATAAATTTACCTCTCACTTGAACTATTGTGAACTAGGTGTTAAGGCGGATAGCAATGCGTACTGACAATAAAAATGACTTAAATGTCAAATGACGTTCTTTTAACGCTTAGGGAACCAAATTTGTGACTGCTAAAACTCTCTAATATTGGTTCTTGTAACTGTTTGTTGGGCTGTTTAGATTTCATTCCAGAGGAATAAGGTCATCCTCGTCGAATTCTTCATTATTTATGCTACGTCCATAATTACCAAGGTGATTTGTGGACTTGTCGATCCACAGTGAAAAATATTTTCAAATTCCCAACTAAATATATATATATATATATATATTTGAGACGTGGTCATTGTCGTCTAGACCAGTTAGGTGAAAAATTAAAGCTTCCGCCTTTTGTTGGGTCATACAGCTGTGTGTATTTCATATAATTTTGACCATTGTACCATTTATCCAGCTTTCACCATGTTACTGGGTGTTTCCCTCATCCTGAACGTAAACAACAATTAGCAACATCCTCACATACTACTCTCCTGATGATGATGGCAAAGTCAATTGAAAGCTAGAGAGAATAAAAAAGTATAAAGAGTCCTCCTTGCTTAAATTTTATATATACATATATACGTATATATATTTGTGATTCTGTTTGGAAGTTGGAAATTTGAAAATAGTTCATCCAGCCAAATCAAACACAAACGATAATCGAAAAAATAGCAAAGAAACTGAATACAAAACACAAGTACTAAAATGTCAAAGTTTACGTCAATCTTTCAAATTCCAGCACAAATCAACAAACTTTTAGCACAGAACTAGCCTTTGTGGCCAATAAATGTATTAATTCTAAGGAATATCCCAATATTCCAAGCTTGGCAGCATGACCAAAAGTCGGGGTTTTTAAACCCAGAGTTAAACCTTGACGGAGCAAAGATACTCGAATTTAACCTGGGGTTAGCGCTAACTCCGAGTTAAGTAACCCTTACCTTTAACCCAAAGCGGTGCAAACAACCGAATATGACAACTGTGGATGTGAAATATTTGTTAACTATCACAAATTAGTTGATAAATCTGGTACCATAATTAACAGCAAGTATAGGATTTCAAATATTCGAGTGTTTACCAATAATACAACATTTGTCCGAGTACTGGTAGAGTCTGGGTTACTGGCGCATTCACTCTACATTTGTTACACTGCTGCTTCGTATCTCCACTACGAAACATTGAAAATATCTTAGATCAAAGTCCAACTCAATGTTTCTAAGTAATACAGACAGGGTAATAATTCATCATAACTAATAGCGTGAAACACACCTCGTGTTTCATTAAACACCGTAATCCTTCACTTTCTTTCGGTCCAAAGTCCAATTTAGTGGGAGGTTCAACACCTCTACCGGAATAACCGGCCCGCCACTGGCCACAGCTGTTCAGCTGAATGTGTACATCTAGCACAGACATACACTCATATCGTTGTCTTTCTCGAGCTCATTGATCGCAATTGTCAAAGTGGCGACACGTACGCGCATCACAGGGTGCGCACCGCCGTCTGTTTGGATGTGTATATTTTCGATCGAACTCATTTGTCTCATAGCTTTCGCGATTTTCAGTCGCAGGAAAAGCGGTTACCGTAAAATGTACAAGAGGTTTTTTTGTAAGCTGTCGCGAGTGTCGGTCAACAGAACGCAAAGACTTGAAAATAAATCTAGTCAGTCCCTTTAGTTACCATTAGACTGCTAGAAAATTTTTGAACAAAAACATCAAATAAACAAAATGTGGTGTTTAATCAGCCAGCCAAACTCCGTCGTCTTCGAGGTGCGAGTTGAGCCCAAATCCATCGGCCAAGAATGTCTTGAGAAGGTAAGAGGACTTTCTCAGGTTAATGACATTTTACCCATTTATTCACAAAGGAAACTCAAAGAAGTTTTAGCAAAATTGCACGTACTTTGGCTTCAGTGCAAGTTGGTACAGCTATCTAAAGTGCGTTTATCATCTCTACAATTCTCTTATTCCTTTAAAATAATACAAAATGTAAGTGCCTGATGATCCTTTGTGTTGACATGGGTGCGGAATTGTGGAAACGCGAAACTTCTTTCATTTTTATCATGTATCTATGTATATTTCTTACTAACGATTCAAAAATATCTGAACCAGGAAGTCATAGTTTATTATATTTTTGGAAGTAGACTAGTTTGCTTTTGTTTTTTTTTGTACGATTTTTGTGAAGGTGAACATCCTTTCCAGCTAAATTCCATGGTTACAATTACAAAGACATATCATTTTCGTATGCAATATGGACAAAAGAATTTTTAGAGATTTGATAATACTTAATGCAGAGGCTGATTGTCATTTTAATATTTTTTCAACACAATTCTGTTAGCCTCCATTCAACTTTTTCATTTTGTGGCAGTGGCATTCGAAGACGTAAAATTCCTCTCTGCAATAATGTTTTCAAAAGAATTAACAAAGTCAAGATTTATATAGATTTGACCTCCATGAGCCAGTGGCCAATATGAAATTTCATTTGGATTGATAACTTTTAAAATTTTAAAATTTGAATTTTTGTGCAAAAGTTTATTTTATAATTGATACTGATAGCACAAAACAAGTAAAAAGTGAGGAGCAATATGTGCATAATATATGTATATTATTTGTACCTGATCTGCCTGGTCATATGGCATTATTTCATTTCCCTATAATAATTCAATTAAAAAAAATCTATAACAAACTATTTGCCACAATGGTAGCTTACTTTTAATACAAACGTGAGTAAAATTGACCTCAAGCTATTCAACAACATCCACTTTCAATAATCTCTAGTGTTATCATTGAACTTGGAAAAATACAGGTCATGAATACATTTTTCCATACTACAATAAATTGTTTCTCATTTGTAATGTGTTGCATGTTGCTGCAGTTTTATGTCAGGACCCTAATTCCACATGAAATTATATGTACAGTACTTAAATGCATTTTGTGTGCTTACAAATTCAACTTTGTTAACAGAAGTTAAATGCAAATGAGCATATTGTTTTAGAAACACAATGGAAAATGCTATTTTGGAACTAAGTAATGCAAACATACGAATTTTAAGACTAGATAGTAATTTACACAGTGCCTTTTTAGAGTCCCCTTTATTTTTACTTCCCATGCCTACTGGCGGGGAAGTATTGCAATTGAGAAAATTTTTGAAAATGAGATATGTTTTAGTTAGTACATTAATACTACTCCAACTTTGGTAATTCTATCCACCTATTAGACATATTTCGCACAGCATAAATTTCTCCGCCCTTTAAACTTAAAAAACTCTTCGCATCAGGCGGATTGCGTACCTACTGACCGCGGCTGATGCTCCTGGCGGCGTGCCGTCGGCCTTGGTGAGTGTTCTGGTATAGTATTATACGCATTTCTGCCGCGCCATGGTATAGTGTTTTCTATGCTCTGACCGCGCTGCTACGTCTGACTGGGTTAAGTATCGGGGAGAGGCGACGTTTCCAGATGTACTACCGGTAGGGCAGGGAAAGAATGTCTGAGGACATTTTTATGAATGGGCCAAGCCAACAAGTTGAAATTTCAGATAAATGAAATTGATGCATATTATATTCTAGTATAAAAGTAACAGTAGAACACTGAAATAAAGCGTGTCCTGTCTTTAAAAATGACTTACTGGTGAGTTGAGTGCTTTTCTACAGTGACTTGTTTTTAATTCCACAACAATATTCTTTTTAGGAGAAATTTATATTTTTGATAAAATTCCCCATACATATTTTATTGGATATTTGGATGCACTCTTCCAAATGAAACAGAAGTTATAAGCAAGTCAGTGTTTAAAAAAAAACGTTCAACTTCGACAGTCTGACAGCTCATCATTTTGAAAGTTAGATCACTTTATACTCTAGGCTTCTAAAGTACCCGTTATGAGATTCAAAATGATTCTCATAAAAACCGCATTAAATTCAATTTATATTAGAAAATAAAAAAAAGTATTAATTTATAGTTTATTCTCCAATGATACATTTTTTCAAAAACAATAATTAACCAATCTGTATGAAGAACATGCAATTAAAGCCATTAGGTAGACAGGATATAGACTTTGCACTGTTACATCATCATAGAGATTGAATTGGTATATCCCATTATAACAATCAGAGAAATTAAATTGTATTGGAAAGATTATTTACATAATAAATTACTAATGTGTACTGGTAAGTCGACAGTGACGTTCCTTGAAAATCACTGCTCATTATTTTACAGTTTTTGTATCATTAAACGTGACAAGTACTTAGAATTTGTCCTAAGTCGTTAATTGAAAACATTAGTTTTTTCATTATAGTATATCTAGGCATTTGAAAAATAGTAAACATGTTTTGGAATGATAAGGTCTTCGGTTTAATATAAAGTTTCCAGGTTGAGAAATGAAGTCAGTAGGTATACGGTTTTTACAAGGAAATACAGGGACCAGCACAAAGGTCAGTCGGGTTCACAATGGCATAGCGTTCGTCATAATTAAATGTGGAAAATCACATCAGTCATATGGTGACCGTTTTTGACTATGCATTACTGGAGAACGATCACTGAGGCGAAGTTCAGCAGCATGCTGCCAAGTAGATCGAGCCGGACTGCGAAGGAGGGCTTGTCAAACGCTTTCCACATTTTCAGGGGTTCGAACCGTTCGTGGTATTTTGTTGATCAGTACCCGCTCGATTCCGATGAATATTGAAGTGGCGACTCATTATGTCGGACAAAAATGTCGGACGTGAAAACGAGGACCTCGAACGCTCACTGCTCCATATTGTCTACCCAGTAAAAATGCTCGGAACGCCCGAATAGGCGGAGAGTATTAGCCATTTCAAAAACATCCGTCCTTTGTGCCAGACCCTGTATTATTCTTCAGGGTAAATGGAAAGACCTTTAATCTAGAGATGCAAAAAGATTTCCTGTGTAACCTTTTTATTAAACACAGTAACAGCAGAAGGTTTTTATTGCAAAGCAGGAATCGTCCATTTTCAAGTTTATTTTCAACCTACAAAAATTGATAACATTGAGTCTGAAATAGAGGCATTATTTTAATTTGATGTTTAATAAAAAAAGTTATGCTCAGTAACATTTTTTGCACTTCTAGATGTAGGGTATTTGTCTATTCCGTTGTTGAATCCATTTTTTCTAGTTAAGTAAATATATTTTTGAATTCCTGAACTTTAAACAATACTAATTTTGTGTCAACACACACATACCACATCCGAGCGATATGTACCTACTTCCCGAATTACAATCGCTAAAGGATCTATCAACAACGCATATTTAATATAAACTGCATATCCAGATTTATTTCGTTGAGGTAGTCTTTTAAATATCAGAAATTCCATATCATTAAACTTTCATCAACCCATGCTAAATAAGTTACATTAACCTACATAGACATAAAAACATGTCGCGGCGCTACTGTTTTCCCCGGAAGGTTGGAAACACCAAGTGTGCACGTTCGCAGCGTGCGAGTCCAAAGTCCGCTCCCAGGTATGGGTCCAAAGTCCAATGTTCAGTTGTTTTCTCATCATGCCGCTTGCTCGATAGCAACACGACACTCACACATTGTAGGTAAATATACCTATGATTATTGTGAAAGATAAACCCGCTCCCGTAATCCGTTAATGGTGCTTGAAAGTGGACTTTGATCTCAGCAATTTTTAACGTACATATTAACATACAGGCGTGGAATTGACAACCGCCGCGCCAGGCGAAACACATTTCAAAAATTTATAACAGCTGTAACTGTTCATGGGTACTTCGCTCAGTTTTTGAAAATCTGTCTAGTGGCTGTGGAGAAAAATGCCAAAAACTAAAAAAAAACACTCTAACTTTGTCTTTAGACGTTTCAGACGATCATAATCGGAAAAAATGTTATGGGTCACAAATTGGGGGTCAGGGGTTGTGGGAGGTGGGGGAGGATATGTCTCAATTCTTTGACGCAGTAAATCTACGCACATATTAGGCACATTTCACTCATCATAGATGAAAACTTAAATACCTCCTACAGTCGGGTGTCGATACGTGCGACGTGGTACCCCGATGGACAAGCGTCGTCGTCGGTGGTCGTGTGCACTGTGTATGGCGAAGGCCAGTATCGTCATTCATGCCGGATTGGACATCGCAATGATCATATGCGCCTGCTAAAGGTCATTTAGTTTTTGTTAAACGTGTTCGTAGCTCCCTTTTTTCTCAGAAAGGCTAACTGGTGCCTAACATGATCCTTTATGAACTGATGGCAGCGCGTAGCGTGGGAAGTACAGTCAACTTATTCGACAGCATTTTTTAAACTTCGATTCTTTGTACTAGATAAAAAAAAGTTTAAAAAACCTTAAAATATATATTTAGTTTTTAGTAAAATGAACCGAATTTCCTCATATTCGTTAGATTTCCCTAACATTCAAATGCTCAACAATCTCTGGAAAATTCTGTACCTAACTTTTTTGATACCAGTGACATTCTTTAACGAGAAGTTTTTGAAGTTATTTTTACAGCCTATAATTATTCTGCATACCATTTATTCCAGTCAGGGATGTCTTAAGCTGTGTGCACTTGGTCGCACAGGAAGCTCAGGGCCTGCCCCTGAAGGGGCCGCAGGCCAGAGTGGGGGGTCCTCAGACACTAAGTAATCATTCATAGTTTGTGAGCATAGGTACGCGAAATAGTAATTTTGTTTTGCCGTATTACTCAGTAACAAAATTGCTGAGCAAATACGTCTCTAGATGAAGGGCCATTTCGATCACTCTTAAGAATATAATTCCGTGGTGGAATGGTCTTTGAATTTTTCGTCGTAATTCTGGTCTATAATTTGAGTTTCATGGGTAACACTCGTGAAT